CATGCATATTATTATATTATATAATATTTATTATTATTTATAAAAAGAATATGGAGAAGAGTTTCCCCTCCATATTTTATAATGCGCGCAGAAAACAAGGCAAAAAATAAAGGCGTAGTCAGATTTCAGAATGCTACTATATTTTGCAAACACAAGAAATTGTTAAAGAAAATATGATGAATGGTTGCACGATTGCCTGGTTGCCTACACAAGGCTCGAGTGTACGCTACTGAATTTTATTACGAACAAATCTGTAAGGTTGCAATAAAAATGTTAAAAAAACACGAAAAAAACACCCAATCTTCTCCGGAAACCCTTGAATGAGATACTATCGAATCGTTTAACAATACTGTACCTTTAATGGACTTATAAAAAGTCAGAAGACATTCAATTCGATGTGCTTGTGCATTCGATCGCACGGTCATAGTCCTGCGTATAATGTATAGCATAATAACGAACGCAGATGTATGCGACGTATCAATTAGTAAAACAATCGATTCCTTGAATGGCACGAGTCGTACCAACTATATGTATATACATGTATATATATATATATATACGAATATATATACATATATGTATACATATAACTATATATTGAAGAGCAATCAAAAGGAAACCGATATATATCTCTTTACATTTACAATCACGCGGGAGCGTGGTTCACGTTCCCGCGAATATATTATGATACAGACTTTTACAATAAACTTGAGAAATTCAACGGTCTCGATGATAATTTGTACACGCTTTAGAATGCCTCGAGTAAACGCCAACAATATCTATATAAGTATGATATTCAACGACAAGGTCTCGTAGTTCCGAGATAGACAAAATCATTCTTCGATGAAAATAATCTCGAAATCTTCTATACATAGGCTAATTTCCGCAAATCCCTTAACTTAGTATTTTTGTGAAATGATAGATCGAATCGATCACCTCGAATTGATCACCCCTTGATCATTCCGTTGGTTCGGTAAGACTTAATAGAATAAGATTTTGCCTATCTCTGACAGATAGAGGGGTAGAGAATACTTGTATCGATAACAACAATCTTGAAACGCGACGGTTATAATAATTATTAAGGTACGAGAGAATCACACGAACCGTGGACCACGATGGGTCACGTTCCTTAGTTGGTCGAGGGTATCTAACGTTCTATCGATGGGTATGCTGTCTACTCTTCCTATCGGAGATTTTCCATGAGTCATCGAAGATGTTCTGACTATAATTCTACTAGAGCAGGCATATGCGAACACCGCGGAACCTTGCGCCTTGTTGTTTTAGAATTCAATCAACATTATATGTTGCAAGTAAAAGAAGAAACTGGCCATGCAAGATAGATTTAATCGATTGTCGAATATAAATTCGCATCTGCCTGACACTTAAACGATAAGATCCAAATGTTTTCTTAAGTAATTTAATTGTTTTTCTTAAGTAATTTTGTGTCATTAGACTGCGGATGTTTATGCAAATGGAGTTCTCTGGAACCGGTTCCAGATTAAATATAATTCTGTATTTTTTATCGATTACTTCGACAATGCGTTCACAGGCAACCTTGTTTGCAACAGGTGCATGAAATCCGCGGTCTAAGTATCGTCCGCCTATTATCGGTATATCGATAGTCGTAACAACATGCAAAAAACGACCGACAGTCGAAGCTCGACTGTTTCATAAATGAACATTCAGCGAAATGTGCGGTCTGAAGATCCTGAGAAGTTTAATCGAGGAGATTTGATATTTGCGAGACCTCGTAAAAGGGAAGATACTAGATTCGGAGCAAGTATAAGAGGTAAAAGATTAAATTCGGGCGGCTCTGAATCGAACCGGTGGCTGAGCCCTTCGTCGTCGCAGCGACGTGGAAATCCGGTTCGTATGTAAATAGCAAATAAATCGAGGAACCCGAAGCTACTCCCTCAGCATCGATCCTGCTTAACGATCTCTCGATGCATGCTATACTTGTTCTGCATCGTTAACACATACATTTTTTTGTTGGTGATACAGCAAGGTATGCGAACTCAGCGGGAAACCAGCTTACATGGGAGATACTTTACACAGCAGTCCCTCGATCAATGATTGGATCATCATCCATGATCCTGCTAGCCTCGCTACCTTGCTCTATCACGAGCGTACATCAAGAGATCTCTATTACTGAGTGCGTTCTTCGAGACGCTCTTCGTTATTTACAAAATCTTGCGGGATTTAAGAGCGAAAGGGGAGATTAAACAATCTCTGCGCCGGGGATTCGGTAATACTGCTAGGATCGTCGTGCTCTCGACAACACGGTTGAAAGACTGGGTAGGTAGGGTAAATACATATTTACAAACGGCGCTCGAGGAGCTCTGACAAGACACTTCGAAGAATCTACGCGCAGAGCTCTCTCGACCGCCGGGAAACTGGGGAATCCGTGACCGTCGGGAATCGAGCGATGGTTTCAGAGTAATCATAGCGATCTCATAAGACGGTGTCGAGGGTGTCCAGACTTCGCAGGACCTGCTCGTCCTTGGAACACCATTGCACCAGCTCTTCGATGGTCACCACGCCGTCCTTGTTGGCGTCCATTAACTGCATAAACGAATCCTTTAATTAATCTGCTCAAAATATTGTCGAACGATGTTTCATCGATACAGACGTGAAATATACGATCGACGTGTTCCCGGGCAGCCAAATGCGGCTCGACGATCTGCGGCTGAGTGTACCGGCCCAGCATCTCGTAGATGGACCCAACCACGTCCAGCATCTCCTCTTTGCTGATCAGTCCGTCTCCGTCGAGGTCGTAGAGCCCAAATACCCACTGCAGCTTCTCCTCCACCGAGCCCCTGGACACTTTCGACAGGATTGTCAGGAACTCCTATTGTAAGGAAACTATTAGCAACTTGCGGTCGTCTAATACAGATACTAATAACAATGACAAAAATGTTTAAAAATGCCAATTAGTTTCAGCTCGTTAAAATCATTCATATTATCCCATCCACTCTTGGAGGATGGAATAAACAGGAAAGGGAAGCCGTCACATAATTTGAACAACAATCGAAGACTCTTTTACTTGGTAAAACGCAAATCGTCTAATACTAGTGGTACAAGTAAATTAAGCTCGACTATTACACTTTGTTGTTCACAAATTAAAGCCTCGTTCTCTGGAGGACAATTAAAAAGACCCTTCCTAAAATAGATCCGTACCTCGAAGCTTATCTTCCCAGAGGATTTTCTCTTCATGGTGTTGAAAACGTAATGAGCGTACTGGCTGGCATCTGAAAGTAGACGCTTTCGTAAAACGCTTTTTTTGACGAGACGGAGAAACAGTTACGAGCCAAGACGACTCACCTCCCTGCGGAAAGAATTGCGAGAAGATCTGCTTGAAGACCTCCTCGTCGACGAGCCCGGTCGGACACTCCTGCTTAAATCCCCGATAGATCAACTGTATCTCCTTCTTGGAGAACCTGGTGTTGGCTGCGAGGGTCGCGAGCTCCTCGGGCTTGTGCCGGCCGCCGAGGGCAAGGGCGCCGGCGGTGGAACCCCCTAAAACGCCCCCGAGTTCTTCAAGCTCGCCCTCTGTAATGTTTGCCAACAGGCGCTTCACGTCTAAGACTGTACCACGCGTTCGAGAGTACTCCCCTCTCTCACCTTTCGGTTCAAATGTGCGTGTCATCCTCTACATCAGATTCTAAAGGGAAAAAGAGTTGTCGCGTGCCCGCGGATGCCTCCTCCCTCTCACTAGCAGGCAGGCAGGGAGGAGCGACGGCCACGCGTGTACTACTTACGAGACAGGGTGCAAACAAGAGCTCGGAAAGAAGGAGCAGATACGCCGGGTACCCCGAGAAGACAGACACAGGCTGATCCTCCTCCAGGCAACCTGCTTACACTCCCCCGTTAGAGCTAAAAAATCTAGGTTTAACTACGGGTGGGTGGTGGAGAGAGACTCGGGGCCAAGGTGTGTGCCGAGCTACACCTCGAGGTGTGCACAGGGTGCGCCGGAGCATTACAGGCGAGGGTAGAACGAAGGTCGCGACCCAGGTAAAACCAATCTTGCGCCCGGATCGTGGCTCGACGACCAAGAGCCTCGAGGAGATCGTGTTTTACTTGGGATGAACAGAGACAGAGGCACACGGTTCCATCCCATTGCGGAGGATTCATCTGTTAACCGTGTTTACTTTGCGAGACCTTGAACTCTTAGCTTACAGTCTACCGTCCACGCAGTAGTGCGATAATAGCGGCTACAATTTTAATGAAGGTTGATATAAACCGCGTTGCGACACCGCCGGTTAACAGGTGAACCGTGGCTCGGCGACGGAAAGGTGCGCGCCGTTAGAAAAGAAAGAGATAGGTCGCTAAGTAGATCGCTCGGGAGTGAGAAAGAGAGCTGATTGAACGTAGTAATATCATAGTTCAAAGTCGGATGGTGGAGAGAGAGCTTTCAGCTAGATGATCGGTTCCGCCGACTCAGCGTCGAGCGATCACTTTCGTTGAGCACCGAGAGAACGCACGAAAATACAAAATTCTCGTTGGAACACGGGGCCGGTCTAGAACTTCGGTCTCATACTGAGGCAGCCGCATCGTTTTTGATCGATACTGATTAACGCAAGCCGCTATAAATACAATGTGTAATTGCCGGCGGGAAAATAAAGGCTCAAGAGCGAACGAAAGCGTGACCCAACACTAGAATTTGCAGACTGGGATTCGAGAATTCTAGAGAAACGTTTACGTGGTGTCTAAATTACAAATGCAGCTAGAGAAAAGGACCTAGTGAACCACAATCTATGGAATAGTGTTTGACCAGAGCGTTCCATGATCAACAGGACGATCAACACCGAAAACAAAATCGATGGTTTCATATTTTTGTTTAATCGACGGTTCACGGAACGTCCTGACAATGCTATTCATTGTTGCTACGGATAATTTGTTGCTACGTACTACGTGTTCACTGAGATCTACAGAACGAACTTCGTCGGCTACTCGCTAAATTCCTCAGTCTGAACTTTCAACTTTTACTGTTGAACCCTTTGCACTTAAAACGAAATGTATTCGCAGCGTTTACTGCTACTCTGCGGAAGCGTTAATGGAGCTCTGTTCGGGGGGCAGACGATGGCTTCAATTAGCGGAAGTGGCGCGGGAATGAGGTCACGGAATTGCTAGTGGCTCGTAATAAAAACTGCTCGAAGTGCAAAGGGTTGAAGCGTAACAAAAGAGAGATGATGCCGATCGATCAGATGAGCAGTTCGCAAGCGAATTCGCGTGTATCTACCTAGCATGCAGTCAAGAGTACTTCTGTATGTACGCATGCTGCCGTTCAGTACTTGAAAAACGACCAGGCGAACCGTTCAACCTTTAATTTCGATAATATCGCGGACACGCGAACGACGAGAACGGATCGAGCAACCCTCTTGGCGATCGGATACGACGCGACGTCTCGAAAGCGACCGGTCTCTTCCCGCGGCTTTCTCATGCTCTTCCATTAATGATGTTCGTTAAGAACATATCTATCGAGCCGATTAGTAGACGCGTTTAATTTTAGCACGACCGAAAATCAGGGCTGGATATATTCTAGGTTTCGCTCGGGTACCAAGTTTCATCCGAAAAGCGCTCGCCCGATCCACGATCTCCCCTCGTAAGGGTAGAAGCTAACCATTGATCGTTGCTAAAATTACAATCACGGGAACTTGCTGAGGAGCGAGCAAATATTAGCCCATTATGAAGATTACGCGGTGCTGCACGACGCAGGGATCTATATAGAGTGCCGTGAATATTAACAGCCAATGTCTACAGTGTGTTTCTCGAATCGTGGACCAACCACTCTAACAAGCTGCCAAAGATAGACAAGTGTTTACATTAACGATCCAACGCGTTTTCTCTCTAGCCAGGCTTTTTCGAGTGTAAACGGCAACGACGAGGAAAAAATAACTTCGCAGCATCGCCAGGGGTCAGACACTCTGATCGTTCGTCGAAGCTACCCTTGGCAAGTTGTTTAGATAGTTAAAAGGATGCGGCTCGCACAAGAAATTCGGTACAAGGGGGTTTGTTCAACCCTCTGACAAAGGCTTTTCAGATACATTGTGTTGTGTTATCGCAAACATCGATGTTCCCGAGACACGGTGCTTTGTTCGAGGCGTTCGTAAACATAGCTGCGCTAATTGAATTACGTTGTAATTTAATTTCGTTACTTTCGAATTACTTGAAATTCAAATACGAGATGGTTGAAGTGCAATTCAACGAAAGATCTAAACAGCTTGTCGATCAAATAAATCGAGAAGAACCGTGTTAGGACAGTCGGAACGCCAAGGGAGCGCTGGACGATCAATTTTGCAGAAACTCGTGAGTATTGATCAAATGGCAAGCAACCGGTTGCCCGTATCTTTTTCTCGGCAAGAGGCTAGAATTACGACGTTGGTTTTTCGGTCGTCAAGCGGATCCTCGTGCGTAGAAACACCCGGTAGGAGGATCCGCATGCTCGCGGTTTAGAGGGCGGCGGGGGAGGCGTTACAAAGGGGCTTTCAGAGAAAATTCAAGGCTGTCGCGGGACTCGAGAGATCGTCCGAAACACGGCCGGGCGCTTTGGAAGTTTCTTGTACATGTATACAGACTGCAGAGAGACGGTTCTATACGTTCTGCACCGTGATTCGACTGGCAGCTCTGGGTCCCGGGCATCCGGGGTCACCATAGCAACGGGATAGCTCTCCTACCCCCGTGGCCACCCCGCTTATGCGAGGGTTATTCGTCAATCGCGAAACGCGGGAATCCGAGACAAGGCCGGATTGAGGGAAGAGATCACTAGGAGAGAATGTTAGCGTCGTCGCCATCGGTCGGTTCCCTAGCGGATCGACTAGCAGTTTCAAAGAGAAAACAAAACAACAGACAGAGACAGAGATAAAGAGACAGGTTGAGAAAGAGATATATAACGTGGCAGGTGGTGTGAGAGGCTAAACTGTTCAACAAGGACTCGTCCATGGACGGGGCAAATCAAGTGTGACGGGGGTGGTCAAGAAAAGAGGAGAGTAAGAGAGAGTTGATGTTCGATTTGCTCTGTCTGAGTCGATGGGAGTCTCGCACCTTGCCGTTGCATCTTTGCCAGGCCGTAATCACCGAACACGCGCGATTAGGGGGGAGATCAGCTCTGGGACCCTGGCCGTGTGTGTGTGCAATCCCTTCGTCTCAAGGAGGATCTCTTTCCACGGCGTATCGACTGGCCTGCACCCGGCTTACTCGGAGAGGAAACTCGAGCGGCACTACAGTCCGCCTGTATGATTGATGGACTTACTTTTCTCGCGGCTCTTACGTGCCTTCATTTGACAGTTCGATCGCACTCTCTGCCGAGATCAATCACCCCTTACGTGCTAACCGATCCCGATTCGATCCGATCTTACGGTGTTGTTTTCTTGCTTCCTCTTTTTCTTTATTTCTCTCTGTCTCTCCCTGTGTTCGGTTTAACGTTTCTTCGCCGACGGATCTTCCAAATCTTCTAAAAACTGCTATCTCGAAGCGATGTTCACCTGTCGCTCAAACCGATCGACGCAATCGTGCACCCGATGTACCGATCGATGCTCCGCGACAGACTAACGTAACTTAACAGGCCAGACTGTGCTCTTCGAGGTGACGACGCGCGCGACCATCGCACAACCACGCTGTGCGATGCATGGAAAGCCAGAACCAGCCTCCTCTCTTCTGGCCACGCAAAAGCACGGCAGATGCCCGCTGCCGCGCAAGCCCGAAATGGTTTTTCGAAGCACGGACTACGACGTTACAAAACTCTTCGACCGCGCCGCCGTATTATTTGAATAAACGATGATCTTTCGTCGAGTTATCGACGAATTTATTTAGCCGACTGCCCTGTCCCGTCTGGCCTCTTTCCTGCCTCCTCCGCGCAGCCTAGATTCGCCGGATTACTCTGGCACTGAATATTCATGATTCTATTAGACTCCCACCACCCGGATCAGCTGCTCAATTATTTCTAAGGCGGTTAATTGGGCTGGTCGTCGGCTACCGAGACATTGGCGTCTTTGTCCTCTCCAGTTTTAAGAGACCTTATCTTTTTTAGCAGCTGTCATTTACATTTTCAGGAGAAAATAGTTCTCGAAAGTAAAGCTATTTCGTTAAGACTAAGAAAAATATCCAAGAATGTTAACAAGGGATTAACTTCATGGCTAGCAGGTGGAGAGAGCAACGCGGAAATTAGAAAAAGAAATCGCCTCGAAGGAATCATTCCGGAATAACGGACGCACGCGTTAATGTACCTAGTCGAGCGAGAACATCGTAAAGCGGTCGTTTCACCCCGAACAAAAGCTTTGCGAAAGCTCTCTGTGGCCTTATCGATGGCCAGACAATAGGCTGTGAAGAGCCTGTGTATCTAAAAGCCGCCTTTGCATCCGAAGAATAGATACCATCGCTGTGCTTAAGTAAAGACGCAATTTCGAATAGAAAGCGCTTATACTGGCGGTAAGAGTTGTTTACGATCTCTTTAGAATCTCTGTTCGATACCATAAATTTGTTCTTGATCGGATATGTTCAGTCCTAACAGTCTGAGTATCATCTGTTAATTGAGGTCTGACCATGCACGATTTTTCTACTGCGCGCCTATCATCGACTGGACTACTTGCTGCCTGTTGTTTTCGTTCTACAGCGAATGGACCTAAAATAATAAGCGTGTGCGTTACGAATAATGATGAAAAGATAATGAAATAATAAAAAGAAATCTTGTAACCCTACCCTGTTCATCTAAAACGAAAAATAATGATTTACTACTGTCAGATTTGATCTTTTAGAAGTTTGTTATTTTATCCATTTGTTTTGTGTTAGTAACTTTTATGTTTTACCTGATTTGTGTTTGTATGCAAACTCCTGTATGTGGTGGTCTTTGCAATGATTTTTTAAACACCCGGTACATGCGCAACAGGAGCATTACCTAGAAACGACTAGAGTACCATGGTTTAGTGCTGTAAACACGATATAAACCAACGAGAGATGCTGTTTCGCTTTCATCAATTGAAACCGAGCCAAACTGGCGGTCTTCGTGGACCGGACGAATTACCTAATTTATGTTGATCGTTGATAACCGCACGCGGGAAACCGCACCAATCGCTCACGGTCAACAAGTAGTAGCGGACGTGTGTGTATCGGCCAGAAAGGATCAAAATGATTGCAACATCAGGATCTCGGAGAATCTATGAATCAGCTAAAATCGATTGTTTTCTTCAGTTCCAATCGTGGAAGAGTGATCCACGACGCTGTGAAGAAGTGCTCAGTTCAGCCATTTTGTAAAAAAAAAGAAGAAAAGCAAATACACGCAGATGTTCCTTAAAACCTACCCAATAAAAACCATATTCCAAATTTCCTTTAAGTTAATTCTTTTATACAGAATAATTACAGAAGATCTCTATAAATTTAACTCTTAATTTAAAGCAAACCACTATCAGGTTCCAAAGGAAATGATTTTACACAGCACTACACGTTTCGTAATATAATATTTTAGTAAATTGTAAGTGCTGTAAGTATATTGATAGTTTTAGTTTAATAATTGTGCAAAATTTCACTCTGCTTACCTGCGTAATTTGAGTAAAAAATCATCCCACGTCTCGGTCAGGAAAAGTGCGAAGAAACAGTAGCCATGATTGAACACAAATCGATAATTAGATCTATCGTCAGTTTGACAAACTACCCTTCGACGCTGTACACGCTGATAACGAAGATACAAATATTATCGATCGATAGTAGCGAATTTTGGCAACGATTTCCAGATGGCAGGTAGATAGAACTTGCAACCGATAAATCTTTCGATTTTTAACGGTGTACAATAGTTATTGGATTAAATAAAGAATCTATCAATGCCGAGGGGAGCATTCGATCTTTCTGCTAATTCGTCTTATTCGCGATCGAATAAAATTAATTTTGATTTCGTTGATCGATGCTGAACAGAAACAAATCGTTCGCAAATTCGAGACACGACGGCACGACTCGCGTTCGGTTAGCAGACGAATTTTTCTATCGGCCATATCAGAAATGTACAGGACTAGAAAAAGGATTACGGCTGAATGCCTCGATTTTTGAAAATGAACGGCAACGATATTTCAAGATTATCGTACAAAGAATTGCAGGCCCTAGCAATTAGATACCGTGTACCAGGTAACATTAAGGTAATTCGTCTATTCTTATTAATGTTTCAATGAGAAAATCCGCGAGCTTGAGCCGGCGATAAATTCCATCTTAAGACAAGTGTACTCGCTATTGATTTTTCGAATGATCGCGATTTTCTGGCCGTAGAAGAAATTACTGGTGAAAGTGTTGCAAGCCGCGAAGGGCGGAAATGAAAACGAGGTCGACAGGCTGCTTCAGGATCTCAAGCAGAATCGCAAGAGAAAAGTGAGAAAAGTCAAAAACGGATCACTTCTCGGGTTAACCTCCACACCACTGCATAGTCCTGATTACGTTATGGCCGATGACTATTACTTCCCGCAACAGCAACCACCTTATCAGTGGGTAAGCCGTTTTCACTCTTAAATCGCCTATCCTTTTGCTAATTGAACAATTTATGGTGCTTGTGACCATCTACAGCTTTATTTATCAATATTTTTTTATTATTTATTTTTGGGCCTTGAAGCCAGATATACAAAGTAAATTTTTAACGTGGATAAAAATTATCTTTGTCATCTTTAGAACTAAAATCGTGTATTGGTCATTGTTGCTACTTGAAATAAAATATATATTGAGCTTAATATCATCTTTTACACTATGGTATTGTAGAATTAAGATATGGACTTACTTGATATACTCTAGTCCAGATATTTATCAAGATTTTAATTAATAACCTTCCTTTTGTAATTGTGCTTTAATTGCAAATTGCATTTTGATTGAATTGAGTAATATACCAAAATTGCTCATTACAATGTAATTGAATTACCTTGTCATTATAATTCATGGAATAATTCAATTGTAATTCTGCACAATTGTGTGTTTAGGTTGGTGCAGAGGAAGAGATAGTGAGCAGAGATGATGAAAACAGAATCCCCCATTATGAGGAGTTTAAGCAGTTTCTATTGAAGAGAATACAGAGGGAGTTTCAGACATATGACACAAATAATAATCAAATACAAGATGCAACTATTGTAGATTTAAGAACAGCAACTGTCTCATCTGATATACAAAAGGATCCCTTGGACACTGTTAACTACAGTAGATCCAACATCATTGCTGTTAACAATGCAGAATCTTTTGTATATCAACCCAATGATCATGTGGAATATCAGACACTGGAGGATTCAAGTAACAATGTGCAGGGTTCTATACTACTGAAGAAAATGCTGCAGGCACCGGTTGGTGCAAACTTGGGGGAGATAGCTAGTCCAGTGATCGGTGGCTACAGGATTTGGCCAATCGATCATTATCAGTCCAACAATTTATTAGATAACTCTGACACTTTAACAGCTGAATCGGATAATGAAGAGAATGAAGTGAATTTTGAGAGCAACGCAGAGTGTTATGGACTCCTCAGTGGCATAAAGGGAGAGTATGTATTAAACGAACCAACTTTTGTAAAGAATGTGGATGAAATTGGTCAGCAAATCTCAAATGTGCTGACAAACGAAAATGTTAATCAGTACAAGTATTCTTCCACAAATGTAGATATGCAACAGGATTATGAGAACTGGACCATCACAAATGTTATGGACCCCACAGAAACAAATTGCGCGACGCCGGACGTCCAATCCTCAAAAATATTTCAGACTATGTATTGTGATAACATGGATCCTGACCCATTGAACAAACCCATCAGTGATGAGACTTTAACATGTCAGTACAATATGCCTGAGAATATACATACTTACAACTCCAATCAAAATTTATTGAATCTAAATCCAACTGAAGAAAACCAGTACTATGAGACAAACATCATACATAGTGTACAGCCTGACACAAATAACACATGCTATTTACAGAACCTAATTAAGTACAGTACAGAAACTAGTGGAGAGTATTTACAAAGCACACACTCATTCTCAAATGCAAATGTAAACCAAGACTTGTACACATCCACAGTTCCACAGACATTTCCCAACAACAATCACTACAACTCTGCTCCCCCATATGAATATGCAAGTGCATACAGCAATCAAGGGAACATCCCCTTGTCCACTAATATGGAACAACAAGCACAAAGTTGCAGTTCCTCCGTGCAATCTGAATCTACTGTTAACAAAAATATGTCTGGTACTCCAGATAAGGTACAAACCAGTGGTATGTTGCTTTTTCATTATTTTTAATCAGCTGGTTACAATCCTTAATGTTAAACAGTGTTATCAAAAGTAAATAAGAGAACACGAGACTTCCTAACATTAAATATTTTTAGGACTGCTGGACTCGTTTTGGCCAACGAAATTCTCGAAAATCGCCGGGCATCCGGTTCTGGAGAACATTCTGAACCTAATCGACCCTAAACGCGTTGATCTATCGAAATTGGATCACACGCCCTGTGTGTATTGTTACATATCGCCTATAGTGACGCACACGCCGGTATCGTCGAGCGTAACGTGCTCCCAAAAAGAGAAGTTCGTTACTGAATACAGACAGCACTCTTTTACCCCGTATTGGTTGCTGTATGACGATACATCTAGTGGCATGCGAATGACCAATCTACAATCAAATTTAGAAGAGGTCTCGCCGGAAGATACGCAAGGGATACGTACATCGACGCCTAACAATAATTGCGATTTACGTGAATCAGAGAACGAAAATTACATGCCCAAGGTTTGGCAGGAGTACGCAGAAAAACATGTGAACATTTGCGAGGATTTGAAAGTCGAAGCCACAGACTGTCTATTCTCAGTAATCAATACTGAACCATTGGTCACTCAAGCTGATGATATCTCCAAGACTGAGACTCAATGAAAACCATGTACTGTTGGTAGTACATAAAATTGTATGTAGCAATTTACGTCAGAGGAGAAGAAGTACAAAATCTTTGATATTATCTAATTTAGAGAGATTACAATAAGACCCTGGACAGTGGTCAGAAGATTGCTACTGCTCCCATGAACGCGATTAAATGCAATTTTTGATCGCATGGTGTAAGAGCAGTAGCGATATCCTGGTCACATTATGCGTGGCCTTATCGCATTTGGTTATATGTATTTATATATTTAAGAATACAACTGATTCAAAGTTCCAGTCAGAGATTATGTTTATCAGAATGAAGAGAATAACAGATTATTACATCGTAACACCATCGTGGATGGCTATGTTTATCATGTTAAATGGAAGATACAGAATTATGTATAATTATGGAAAAATATAATTTTGATTTCCTCGACGTTGGAGAATACAACTTAGAGAAGAAATACTGTTCAACTATCACCAACAATTTTCAATGATCTGAGATTTCTGTTTTCTAACTATAAGAAGATATAGTACGTTTTTTGATGATGGACGATAAGGAAACGAACTTAAAGGTCCACTAAGTTATGGAAACTTATCTTTAATCATGTGCAATTCATTTTCGCAATAAGACGTCGCGGACATTACTTTATCCAATCATTCGCTCTCTTCGTTCTCGACCAGTATTTGTAACATTATATATATTTTACTAAGAAATAAATTGTGAAGCATCAGAAAAGAAATGATCACAAGACTCTTACTCGGAATCCCCTCTGCCTGCATCTGCGTCTTCAGATAATTGAACACTTTCACTGGAATTGATTCCTTTCTTCGGCTTCTATACATCCCCATTTCGCTGTCCACAGTTTTTGAACTTTTTTCCGAGGATCTACCCGGAGTCACGTTAACACTATACATTTTTTTATTCTGCGCGGCTCAAACGTTTCTTGATTTCTTCTTTTCAAAGATTCTTATTATTATACAGCATTAGTCGATTATGTAATCGATGCATAATACATTTATAAACTATTCATTAGAAGGAAGAAGCTGATTCACATGGGACGTAGATGCACGATGCAAACGGAGTAGTCAACGGAACCAGATCTCCAGCTGCACTGCTTTTAAAAAAAAAAAGCAATACCGCAATGTAGGTGAGAGTGCAGTGGCGCATTCGCCCTGTATCTAATGAGGCCCTTGAAACGTGTGACTAATTATTTCACAGTCTCGTGCATGCCTTTTTCCGCGAAGAATAGCGTTTCAAACGAAAAGTCTTCATTTTATAAAATTGAAAAGAAAATAGCTGTAGAAACATATAGCACGCTTCGGACTTATATTTCTCCTTAGGAAAATTATAATATCATCTGCAATCGGTAAACAAGAAACGTGATACAATAAAATATGTTTGCTTCATTTAAAAAGAAAGAAGAATACATATTTAAAGTATTGTAGAATCCAAGATGCTTTTGAATGAATGATAATTTGCATTTCTGCTTGATATGAAAATAAAATATTTTCCACCTGTAAATTAAAAAATTATTACTATAAGTATTACAATGATGTTTGAATAGTTCATTTTTTAAATAATGAGTCTTAAAAATTCGCAAGATGATCGCGCGCTTCATATTTATGGATGTCGCTGGAGGCGCATTAAATCATCTATAATCTAGATGGCCTGATAGCGACATGTACAGATAAAACTCTGCGCAATAGACCTAACCTAACTGTTACTTGGATCATAACACGAAAATATACACAGTAATATCTTGAGAACTGTGATATTTTTTGCAGCATTGTATTTAAAGATTTTGTGACAATACGTAGAGAATATTGCAGGTACTGTCATGATTATATAAACACGATTTCGATGCGTTAAACATTTTTATTTTAAAGGTTATTACAAGAGGATCTCTGGCGAGTCTAATTGAAGACAATGATACGAAGTGCCAGTTCTGTAATGGGCACCAGTGCATTGACAATAAAAAATCTAGCTGGTTATGACCATTTAATATCTAAAGCAACTACTATTCAATGCGTACGTTGGAAGAGGAAACCGATTTGGTTGCCTACAGCAAAATCAAAATTGTTCAGAGTACCGGAAAGGCCGGTCATATCCGATGAAGAAAATGAAGAATTACAACGTCTAAATAATTCCTACAGAACAATGACAAAATCATTGAGGTACTGGCACGTATTTAATATGCAATAATATTATATTATCTAATTGTAACATTTTTTGGATTCAGATCCTTTTTCGTAAATAAGCATATTGAGATGAGAAATAAGTCCAGAGTTATTACTTCGCAAGAACATATAGATGAAGATTTTATATTTCGTTTCAACGTGAACAAAAAATGGAATGAACAGGTAGCTGCTGCGCGTGAAGAAAGATTGAAGAATTTAAGGGAGAACCGTACAGAAGAGATATTGAAAAAAATGGAAATGAAAGCAGAAAGGGATTTGCAAATCCAACTGAGAGTAGATGCAACAATCAGAAAAGCAAAGGAAGAATCTGCAACATTCATTACTAAAGATAACATAGATCAAGCTATTGAAAAAGCATTTGAAAATATTATAGATTATAATTCAGCTATAGATCTTGATGGTAATACTTATGTGATAGACAATAAAGAAACAGCAGAGAATACAGAAAAACTTGAGAATACTGTATAAATTATATAATAAATGGTTCATGTCTTAAGTAGTTTCTTTTTAATAAACACAAAAGTACTGCAATTACATTTGTACATTTGCTTTTCATTCTCATCAAATTTAATTCGGTAAGTTCGTCTAATTCACAGAATATGTTTATTGAAAATGATCATATATAATAATGTAATGTATTAATAATATACAATAACAAAAGGATTTGTAAACACATCCATTCAAGTTCTCTTAGCATATGTGCTTTACATAATATGGTACACAGGCGTTGTATCAACTACCCTAATCTCGCAGCCTGTTGCACCACGTTGTTACAAATTCTATCCAGCACATACCTAGACAAATTTAATTTCTCAACAATCTAATAATGCATTATCGTCGTACAAGTTTTCACAAACGTGCGCAAATATCTTGCGAGTAGAAATCATGTCTAATCTTTTTCTGTCACTTGTTTCGACGATAATCACAGACGTTAATTTATAATTTGTTAGATGCTTATCTTTCTTTTCGCAGTGATCACCGGAATTTTAACACCTGAATGAGATTGTGTTCGAACGCGTGGTTTTTTAAAAATGTTTATATGCGATTCTACTTGCATTATGTATTGCGACATATTTGTTAAGAATAATTACTTTTACATTTCATACATATTCGTAACATATCATGATGTGTAATCGTACCATCAGAGTATCTTTGGTTTAAACACACACAATTTATTAAAAAAAGAACGAAAAAAGAAAACAGATTAATGACTTCAATGAATTTCAACTATTTCAAAACGAAACGCGAGTAGATTATGCTGTGAAAAACAATATTCACGATTAAGTCACGGCTGCGAAGCCTCGTAAAAAACGTATTAATATATTATTTTACAAGATAATTCATTAATCCATACGAATAGCAATGGTAAATGTATAATTCTATTCTGATATTTATTGTACGTGCTTGTGTATATGTTCCTAAAGTTTAAGAACAAGTCTTTGAGTCTCAAGATCTGTAATTAACGACGAAGCCTCACATTAAAAAATACATTATTACGTCTACGGTTCAAGTAAAGTTGCTATAAATTAAACGAGTTACAGAAATGGGATCGATGGGAGTTGAATAAACCTGTTTTGACCAGTTATTACAAATTAAATCAGCATTGACAATACTATACAGAATGAAAATTATGAAACATTAGACTTCGTCATTGATCGTGATATTTAAGCAAATCGGTAGAATCCTTAAATAGCAAGATATAACGCATACACTACCCTGGTAAAAGTGGAAAAAAGCTGTAATAATTAGAGTATAGTTATCCCTTATTTAAATTACCGTTATCATCCTTTTTTTCAATTGTTAACGTAAGTTACATAGGCGTTCCATTTTTATTTTTACAACTATCAGCTATGGTATCTTTGACATGAGACAGGGCTATTGCACTTTGATACCAGTACTAATTATATGTTACGTACGAAACTATTGTTCGGAGGCGTCGATAAAATATCGTATGAACACGTTTGCAGAATAATTTTCATTGTAAAATGAGCTTTCTATTATATTTTGTGTGTACCAATTTTTCTCTTATGTCATACCTATACGCGTATATGTATGGAGCGTGTGGAACCAGGTGGTTGGGGTGAATGAAATCTATTCGTGATTGCTACAATTGATTTTTGAACGCATATCAGCTTTTGCAATGCACATCACGTTCTCGCATACATTTAATTCAACTTAGTTGTAGATATACAAAGTTCTTCTTTCTTTCTCTCTCTCTCTCTCTCTCTCTCTCTCTCTCTCTCTCATTCTCTCCATGCTCTCTGGATCCCGTAAAATCTATGGGGGTCTAGGACGTTCCGAAGCACCACAGTTAAAACGTGTGTTGCATCCGCGACTCATGAGCTTGGTAAAAAATAGGATTTATAAAAAATCTTACACCTGTTCGTTATTTTGCGTACACGGTATGTATGAAAACGATGGCACATATGTTTCTAAAGCGAACTTGGCGGTAAGTATGCTTAAACGCGATTTTTTCCCTTCTTCGTTTTTCTCTTTATTATTATTTGAACTCTGTATCCTTCCTCGTTTGGTATGGACAGAAAAGTGATGGAAATAGCGTTCCATTTGTATTTTTACTATTAAATNTTATCTTTCTTTTCGCAGTGATCACCGGAATTTTAACACCTGAATGAGATTGTGTTCGAACGCGTGGTTTTTTAAAAATGTTTATATGCGATTCTACTTGCATTATGTATTGCGACATATTTGTTAAGAATAATTACTTTTACATTTCATACATATTCGTAACATATCATGATGTGTAATCGTACCATCAGAGTATCTTTGGTTTAAACACACACAATTTATTAAAAAAAGAACGAAAAAAGAAAACAGATTAATGACTTCAATGAATTTCAACTATTTCAAAACGAAACGCGAGTAGATTATGCTGTGAAAAACAATATTCACGATTAAGTCACGGCTGCGAAGCCTCGTAAAAAACGTATTAATATATTATTTTACAAGATAATTCATTAATCCATACGAATAGCAATGGTAAATGTATAATTCTATTCTGATATTTATTGTACGTGCTTGTGTATATGTTCCTAAAGTTTAAGAACAAGTCTTTGAGTCTCAAGATCTGTAATTAACGACGAAGCCTCACATTAAAAAATACATTATTACGTCTACGGTTCAAGTAAAGTTGCTATAAATTAAACGAGTTACAGAAATGGGATCGATGGGAGTTGAATAAACCTGTTTTGACCAGTTATTACAAATTAAATCAGCATTGACAATACTATACAGAATGAAAATTATGAAACATTAGACTTCGTCATTGATCGTGATATTTAAGCAAATCGGTAGAATCCTTAAATAGCAAGATATAACGCATACACTACCCTGGTAAAAGTGGAAAAAAGCTGTAATAATTAGAGTATAGTTATCCCTTATTTAAATTACCGTTATCATCCTTTTTTTCAATTGTTAACGTAAGTTACATAGGCGTTCCATTTTTATTTTTACAACTATCAGCTATGGTATCTTTGACATGAGACAGGGCTATTGCACTTTGATACCAGTACTAATTATATGTTACGTACGAAACTATTGTTCGGAGGCGTCGATAAAATATCGTATGAACACGTTTGCAGAATAATTTTCATTGTAAAATGAGCTTTCTATTATATTTTGTGTGTACCAATTTTTCTCTTATGTCATACCTATACGCGTATATGTATGGAGCGTGTGGAACCAGGTGGTTGGGGTGAATGAAATCTATTCGTGATTGCTACAATTGATTTTTGAACGCATATCAGCTTTTGCAATGCACATCACGTTCTCGCATACATTTAATTCAACTTAGTTGTAGATATACAAAGTTCTTCTTTCTTTCTCTCTCTCTCTCTCTCTCTCTCTCTCTCTCTCTCTCATTCTCTCCATGCTCTCTGGATCCCGTAAAATCTATGGGGGTCTAGGACGTTCCGAAGCACCACAGTTAAAACGTGTGTTGCATCCGCGACTCATGAGCTTGGTAAAAAATAGGATTTATAAAAAATCTTACACCTGTTCGTTATTTTGCGTACACGGTATGTATGAAAACGATGGCACATATGTTTCTAAAGCGAACTTGGCGGTAAGTATGCTTAAACGCGATTTTTTCCCTTCTTCGTTTTTCTCTTTATTATTATTTGAACTCTGTATCCTTCCTCGTTTGGTATGGACAGAAAAGTGATGGAAATAGCGTTCCATTTGTATTTTTACTATTAAATTACAGGCGTTGTAAAAATTAATTTAGTCGATAACATTACTCTTCACATGTTGTCATTCATCAACAAATGCATCATCATCCTTCCCGTTACTTTTTACTGTACACTGTATTGTTTTCTTATCCTCTGTTAATCCTCCTACTTTCTTCCCTTCGGATCATTTGTCTTTTTTAATTAATGGTGCTGATAGATAGATTGCTTCTTTCTCGACCACATTCTCGCCACGCAAGGTGATCCATAACTTTACATAATTAGAAGAACAAAACACTCCACGATAAACGAATTGGCTTGCTCAATCAAGATTAACTCATCCTTTGCTTGTGTGATACGATGCTCGACGCGGCATTCCTTATATTTTATATGATATATATATACAGATTGGGTCAATGAGAACTCGTCTTGATCAAGTGTAATCATAAAGAAATATAAGAACAACATGAACACAAACAGCTAAATAATCTCTACTCAATTACAACAAAGAAGCAAGAATTTCGAGTATCTATACTGTGCATCGATTAGTTTTTAAAACAAGCAGTAAACTCTTTTCTCTTTGCCTAGAACAAATGAAGACAATATAACGTCTGTTGCATACATATACATATACGCACATATATGTGTATGTATTATATATATATATATGTATATATATACGGATAGGTATAAAATTTGGTCAACGTTTTTTCTCTGTATGATAATATTATCAAATATAGCATATATATAAGAATATTTTGTACGAATATAGAATAATAAAATGGTTGGTAAACAGTAAGTATAATTATTCAACAAGTACTACATGGTAATAGTAGTAACATTGGTGGTTGATTAGAGAGGAGACAACTGAATAGATTCTAAACCGCCAAGAAAACATGATCAGTTCTTTATCAATTACTTCTTCTTTTTTCTTTGAAATACAAGATCGTACCATGTTCGCAGATCGTTCTCGTCTCCAATAACCACGCCAATAATAATTATAATAATACTAACTATAGAATTAATTCATGTCCTTAAAGGGAACGTAATGGTAAAAAAAGAAAAGACATGAAACAGCATTATCAATGAAACCAATATTGCAGGTATTCGTTTAGTGATAGTTTTTGGTTGTAAATTATAAAACAGACGACAATACAGAAGGTTCTTCCAATAGCACAGTGCCAAACTACTGTCAGCACAACCAACAGGGCGTGATAAAAATATGACTTTTTAGTACAGCTATATACTTTTCTCAGTGTTGTTGCTCCCATTCAATATTTTACTACGCGATAAATCTATGTTGAATTCTCTGCTTGACCATACCCTATCAATACCTCCACTTTCGATACTACAAATTTATAGAACGGCGATATTTATTTCTTTATAATACTTCTATGTGCTAGAGCTGTGATCCGACAGTACTTTGAGACGTATTGCATTCTTCAGAAAACCTTCCTACTATGCACACATATACATTTCATTTTTGTTCTCCATTGTTTGTTGTATCCGACGTAAACATTGAGCTTAAAATTTGCCATTGTTTTCTTTCTTTTTTCATTTTTTTTAAGTAGGATGTAGGTCAGTTAAGCTATCTTACAAAGCTAATCTCAAAAAACGAGATTATGACTATTAACGTTTTCGAAAGTATCACGTTTTACTCACGCACTTTGCTGAGCTCACCAGGCCATGCCGTGGGAAATGTATTATCTTTTTTCTTTCTTTCTTAAATCGGACACCGACTGCCTATTAAAATAGAAGTCTTTCATCCTACCTTTGTTTCTTCTTGTAGATGCACTCCCTTTCTTCTTAAAAAATAACTTTCCATAAAGAAAAATAATATTTCCTTTGCATAACGTTTGTACGATGACGGTAATGCAAGGCCGTGGCACACATTTCATCCTACACGACAAATCATGTGTGTAAAATATATAAAAGAAACTTCGCTGAACGTTCCAATGCGACGCAATTATCTCGTCCCGAATCGAAGCTCGCACTGTATCCGTTTCGAACCAACAGCTTCTGTTGATATCCTCAGCAAAAATACTGCACAATGTTATGTGTGCATTTGCATTTTATATATTTTGCACACTTGATGCAGAGTCTGCAGCAATGTGATGTCTTTTATTTTGTATCGCATGTATTATTCAAAGATAAATTAAATTATTCAATTCCCCGAGGACCGTCTATTGGCATAGTGTGTAAAACTTCGTCTAGTAACTGAAGAGCTCTGTGTAAATGTACCTGTGCCCATATAAAGACGATCGTATTTTTCTCTCTCTCAAGTTTCAATTGTACAGTTTAAAGTATGAACATAACTTACCTCTATCCAGCACGGAGTTTCCTTTATACTTTGCCGGGGATAGTCGGGACCCCAACCTTTCACGAAACTTAAACGCAAAATGCAGAGTCGTCGGAGATCATCTACGCCTATTCCAGCTGCTGCACTGAGACCTGTATTAAATGATGAATAAACAAACTTTTAATTAACACCTGGGAGCATTTTGCTTCCTTCTTAATTGTTTTGTTCATTGTAAGCTACTGACTTTTAGTGATTGGCGCACCGTGCGTCAAGTGTCCCGCAACGGCAGCAGCTTGTGCCGCAGCAGCGGCTTGAGCAGTAGCGGCTTGTCCTCTCATTTGTTTGTGACACTGTCGCAAGTCAAAGACTTTAATGTATGCAGAAGGATATATTTTGTGCACTGCGTCACCGGGTGCGCGACCTGCCTCTCTGTCTAAATAATAGGATTGTACAAAAACGCTGTGTTCGCTTTGGCATCTCAACCAGACGTCTCCTTCTCCCCTCAGATCCAGCACGACTCCTTTCCCTGAAAAATGTTTAGTTGTGTAAAATATACACAAATATTTCAAGAAATAAGTAAATATATGTATAGGTATGTTTAGATGTATTTATACCTATATGTAGTCGTGCTTTCTCGCTTTGCTCCGTTCTGTGTACATTACTCAACGCTCCTAAACAAAATCTATTACCGCCACTCGGATCGACGTATCCATCTACTGTGACGGTCGGACAACTACTGCTAACTTTAAACGTTTCGCCTACTTGAGTATCTAATTCAAAATAGCCAACGGAACACCAGTATTCGGGAGCTGGTTGCGTGGAGAGCAAACCACCGATATTACCGCCCACGTCACCTCCATGACCACCCCCTAATAAACACATGAATCAGAATCCATTGCTTCTGGAATGACTTAATATTCATCCATTCACTTACAGTAAGAAGTAGGATGAAGGTGTCTGTGATCTGGAGGTTGCATGCTCTGAGTATATGTAAGAGTATTGGCTCCAGTCCACTGTGGTGCGCCAGAATTGTAAGCAGCCGTGCCCACTGGAAATCCATTTGGATGATGAATATGTACAGGTGATACAGGAGAGTTTTGGCCTTCTCCTATTAGGATATCAAATTGGAGGATGAATTTAAACGAACACTGAAAGCGATTTGAGGATAATATGGCATACCTAAAGACGCTGTTAACGCGTCTACGCTTGGAGGTTGATTAAGGTCTTGAGGAGGCGTGTTGGTTCCATAGAAAGCTTCTGTAGACTGCCCTTGCGAAGGGCTGAGCATTTGCGTACCGTTTCCTCCGCTAGGTGTACTCAATGACTGCTGTTGGCTACCTACGGTGTGACTCATTGGATGTACTACTGCTGCAAAATCAAATGTAACTCGTACACAATACAGGCAACAACACAAAATATCAATTACACACGAACTTTCTCCAGAGTTTCTGAAATGTATTACAGAAAGTGATTCTAGAAACTATTCGACGAGGCTAGCACGAAGCAAAATAAACTAATCAGCGGTAGACGGAAAGTATACGGCTTGAAACAATTAGGGGATATCTTTTAGCTTATATCCCCTATTTGTTTTAGACGGTATAGTAAGTATATAAAAGTAAGCGTTCTATTATATACGTACGATGATGAATGTTACGTGTCGTAGTATGATGAGGTGTGGGGATCCAGGTTTGCCTGGGGCAATTATTGTCGTCCAATTTATTGTGGGGGTTACCAGCATTATTCCCTCCCCCATTACTGCCAAACATACCCTCACCACTAGCTGTGCCAAACAACAAAAGAGAAAAGAAAGAATAAAGCTAAAATGAAATAGAACTAGCAACGCAAAGTAATACTAGATAAAGCAATAGTTAATGAAAAACAAAATAATTGGTCACAGACAAATGAGATCACCTCCTAATCTACAATAACAAAGCTTTACTCATCTTCATATGTCTTAGTGCATTTGCCATGGAATATGAACGTATAACATGCTTTGTTCTTGAATGCACTCTGTACACAGGAACACATTTAAAAACCGAAAATTCTAAGTACAGAAAAATTAGGAAACTACAACCCTGAAATCGGTAACTGAGGAATTACTAAGAACTAGAGATACACACTACTTTGATGCATAATAAATTATTATTAAAATATGTAATACCTACAGTGGATAACACAAACATTATTGATAAAGGATTATAATACTTCACTTACTTGGATTAGGCGGTGCTAGGCCAGGTATAAAAGCCTGTTGAGACGGTTGAGTGTTATTAGATGAAGCGGGTTGAGCAGGTGGATGGTGCTGAATGGTTTGATTCATTTCACCGTCTACGTCCATCGCGGATCCTACTGCTCCAGCTGCTGCAGTTCCTCCACCACCGACAGAGTACTCATCTTTGACCAATCTACCACCTGGTCCTACGCCCACTCCCGATTGCAGAGTCAGTCCAGACAGGTCTGTAAAGAACGGGTCTGTGCGGGGGAAACCAACCCATTCCATCATACACCAAGGCCACAACAATAAATCGTTTACACTTATGGTGCTACAAATGAGTCCACAGAAGCTTCACAAGGAAACAATGCAATGAAAGGAGGTTTGAATTGAAGCACATGATCTCTCTAAAAAAGAAATAAACTAGAAATGCGTTTCTGGAACATACCTATGCCTGGAGACACAACCCTCTCATAGTGATATGGATTTACACATACAGAATCACACTTCAAGTCAAAAGCAAACTGGCAGTATTTGACATGTTTTAATTCATTCTTGTGTAAATCCGGCCATCTCCAGATACGTGCGTAAATAACATGTGGGAAACCCTTGCGTCCTGCAACTTGTAGCCTACCATCAAGAGTTCTCTGTATTGTGACGCATTTGCTGGGATGTGCTCCATTGGTGGTGATAGCAGTTATTAAGCTATCCAGCTCATCTCGTTTTTCCTAAGCAAGGTATTGATTTTAACACAATTTCTTGCTATAACCAATGCATACAGGGAACAGTACTTACTTTCAATTTTTTGACTAAAGATTCAATGGCTCTTTTACTAAACCCTTCGCTCTCACCACCTTGTCGATGACACATCAGTGAATGCACTATGCTTAGACAAGCATCTGCACTAGTCGGAGCACTGGGAGCAATTCCGGTCATTTCTCTCACTGCACAGAAATACGTGCAATGCATAACAGCCATGTATAGATGATGTACAGAATAAATATACTAATTGCAGGTGTTCGCGGAAAAATAACATTATCAAAACTTACATTCTGGATTAGGTTGCATTGGGGGCGAGGGATACAGATGACCTCCCCCGCCCGCCAATCCAACCATCTCTGTGAAAGCCGTGGCGAATTCCGTTCCAATTCTTCAATTGAGACACTATTCTTATCCTTGGCTTCACGGCGTTCGAGTTTATTATGATTTACCATCTAGCAGCGATCCGTGAGCCATGTGTGTCGCGTACGTAGATCTGCTGAAAACGGAGGAGAGACAGTTAAACAAATCGCAGCCCGCGATCGGTTATAAAATATTAACAGACAGACGAGACGAACCTTATCGGCTGACGAACTAATTACGAGCTCGGTTACACAGAAAATAACCTTAATCGAGGTGTTTCACGATGACGTACCGTGAACTGACAGTTACCTCGATCAGGACGCTGCTAGTTTTTTTCAGGAGGTTAGATTGTGCCGTTGCGACATCGGTAGCAGAATCTGGCAAAACCGCACTTATCTCTAGTGTCTAAGTTGCACGATTGGCGAGGCGACTAAAGCGCCAGACTATGTGTATGTATAATGCGCAAGTTTCCAACAGTTCGCGTCCCGTTCTGTCTCATCTATTCCTTTTTCTTGAACGACACGCACCTAATGCACACTCGCGCACAGTTCTTTGCCCGGCCCGAGGTTTCATCTATGTTTTCATCTTTCTATCTAACTGCCTTCGGACAACAATACGATTACGCAGATATAGGGGTGACACGAACATCCACAAGCTACCCAGTATCATGGAGGTTGACAACATTTAACCCCTATCGGGGAGGTTTTGAAATGTATCCGAATCCATCTGAATCTCTGCTCTCTACCCTCTACCTTCACCCCCACTCCTTCGACTTGTTTTATTTTGATGACAGGTTCGAATACTTTCGACACTTGGTCAATATTCAAACGCAATTAATGAATATAGCTTGTAGTTTAAATATATCTGTTGCCAATATTGCAATTGATGATTAAATGTTTCATGTAACTAATCCAGAAACGTTATTATGTAATTAATTCTTTAATGAAGTATTGGTTCCTATTGAAAATATCGATAATTATTAAGAGCTCATTTAAGGGTTCAAATAAGCATTTAATCATCAATCCAATCGATGGTCAAATTAACTATTTATGTATTAAAAACAATTTCGATTCGAAACTAACAATTAATAATTAATTACTAAAGGTTGATGATATTTACAATCGTCTGTTCATAACTGAAGCTTTTACAATCGTAATTTCTATTATTCTCAATGTATTTATGAAAAAGTATGTTGTTTTAATTGAAATAAACAAAGGTTTTTGCAAATATTCTTTTTTGTTGTATACACACTTCCGTACTTGAAGTGTGTCGCAAATTGTACGTTCGATTACTATCCGGGGGTGTAACTCAGTGGTAGAGTGTCTGCTTCGCATGCTGAAAGTCCTGGGTTCAAATCCCAGCTCCTCCAAGATCCTCTTTTTTTGTTCCTTCCAATTATAAAAAATCCTAGACCTCTTCAGAAGCATATCTACCGTACTTGAAACGAAGATAAAACACATGGGGGTGTAACTCAGTGGTAGAGTGTCTGCTTCGCATGCTGAAAGTCCTGGGTTCAAATCCCAGCTCCTCCAACCCTGTCTCTTATACACATCTAGATGTGTATAAGAGACAGGTGGTAGAGTGTCTGCTTCGCATGCTGAAAGTCCTGGGTTCAAATCCCAGCTCCTCCAACCCTTATTTTTTCTATTTTTTTTTGTAGGTAGAATAGTATTAAACGTTTTATTACATTCTCTTTCTATTCTTTATTTAATATATTTAGACAATCACAAGTATTAAATAAAGACAATAATATAGACACAAGTAGATGAACAAGGTCGAGTGTTTTTCACAGTTTTTGGGATGCTCTCAATTTTCGTTTCTTTGATAAAGATGCGCGCCCCGACCCATTGATAAGCACTTGAGCAGCAGGAGATGTGGCAATTTCTAACCAAACCTAACCACTCCTGCGGCACTAGTACTTAGGAACGGGTTAGGATTTATTTCTGTATCTATCACACTTCTGCTCACTGTAGACTCAACCATTCATCGCCTCCTTGATTTTTGACTCCTACAAAACAGATCATACGCTATTATTCATTGCTAGTTAATTGCCACACGAATCAAATTCGCTTAGAACCCAGAATCTTGGTTAATCTATATCTGCATCTGAAGTTCATCTAATAATCATTCTCACATTACATACAGCGTAAATCACTCTTTACAAGATATCTTGATAATTATTGCACTTTGTTGAGTTGCTAGATGGCTCATTCTATATACATTGTTCAAAGACTTGTAAAATGCGAGATGCACAGAATTTCTAATTTGTTCAAAGAGTTAACTATGCAAAGAAGTTTCCTTTTCTACTACGTGATCATTAGTCAAAACAGACTAGAATAACAAATCACGAGAAAATAGGAACGACAAATAAACTCGTCTTCTCCTGGGCAGAGCGTCTGCTCGCCGATAAAGGAGCCGTTTCGTATCTTCCTCAAAGAAAGAAATATCGATCGGGGTACTCAGCGCCACTACACAGAGCCCATTCTCCTTTGAGGTATAATGAGGGCCCTTGTTGGTAGCGTACGCGCGTTCTCTTCGCTCGCTCTGGCATCACGAATCGTCCGAGCAGTAAAAACAATTGGCTCGAATATAGAAGACACCGAGGCGGAACTATAAAACGTTTCTACTCGTTAGCAACAGGCGGAGGAAACGGCCGTATCTCCGAAAAGAACCGACCTCGGTCGATTAATAAAGAATTAAGGAAACGTAGGGAAACCCTAATACAACTTGCCCACGTTTCGCTGGTAATTTGCCGCGAGATTAGATAATTGACATAAGAATATTGTAGGCAGTAGATATATTGCGTGACGCATTGGCTGCGTGCACTGTAATCGTTCAACGAAACGGACAGAAGTCTTAAGTCAATTAAGTTAGCCTATTTGCCAGATAAGGATTACTCGTTGCCGGACTCTCACTCGGAAAGTGTTCTCCGAAATAATTATTTAATCAGTAGTCGCCCAACCGAGGATTAGAAATTTTGTGTGCCGTATCGTACCAGGAACAATGGGAGAACACGAAAGCCACGGCAGCGCGTAAAAGCAATATGTCATGGTACCGGTGTCGATAGTAAGACACACGGTATAATTATTAGCCCGGACATGGTGCTACATGCATGCAGACGTATGTGCACGCAATAATGACGCGATGACACACAGTGGTACTCATTGAAGCGACCTCGACGACTCATTAAAGTCGCCCACCGCGCTCTCTCGTTTCTCTTGTTCTTTCTTCCCGCGCGATTCTCTTTCCCTCTCTCCGACTCCGAGAAATTTCGAGCTCAAGAGACGCCCCTCAATGAAACCTGTTGCATCTGTAGAGGATTTCGACGCGCGACGCATCTGGACCAAATGCATGTCTCCTCGACGCAGCCGGGAACCGAGGACTTTCGTTGTTGACAATCTCTGTTAACTCTGTTATCGTTGTTCGTCCTTGGTATCGCTAACAGCCGATCGGCTACGCCTGGTCTCCTCTATCCGGCGCGCTGCAAAACGGAAGAACAAATTGATCATGTGAGTCAACACCAGTCGAATCTCGGGCTCGATGGATTCACCGATGCCGATCGTTAACCCGGTTCCCTTGAATAAACGTGATGTAATTTACATTACCCTAGATCAGTGGTTCCCAACCTTCTCACTGTCTATGTGCCATGATGCTCACCTTGATCAAAGATCTTAATCTGTGTGGAACGTTAATCGTTTTGTTTATATGATTGGATTCTCTGTTTTGTGATAAAGATGCGCGCCCCGACCCATTGATAAGCACTTGAGCAGCAGGAGATGTGGCACTTTCTAACCAAACCTATCCACTCCTGCGGCACTAGTACTTATGAACGGGTTAGGATTTATAGATTATTAATAGAATATTGTCAAATTAGGACCTTGAAATTTAATTCTATTACCCTAGCGGAACAGGAAAATAAAATAGGATGCAGTGGAATGTGACTTAGCTCGTTCTTTCTTGCTATCAGTTGAACCCTTTAGCCTGAGGAATAAACAATTATTTTAATGGAGATTAAGAACGACTTCTATCTCTGTTATCTACCGGCACTTAGCTGAGGATTTACATTAGTAGATTTTTTAGTAACAAATTTCAATCGTGAATCAATGCCTACCAATGATGGTATTTGTACAATATTGAAACTGATGCTATCGTGTGCTCCAATTAATAGCNGACGCGATGACACACAGTGGTACTCATTGAAGCGACCTCGACGACTCATTAAAGTCGCCCACCGCGCTCTCTCGTTTCTCTTGTTCTTTCTTCCCGCGCGATTCTCTTTCCCTCTCTCCGACTCCGAGAAATTTCGAGCTCAAGAGACGCCCCTCAATGAAACCTGTTGCATCTGTAGAGGATTTCGACGCGCGACGCATCTGGACCAAATGCATGTCTCCTCGACGCAGCCGGGAACCGAGGACTTTCGTTGTTGACAATCTCTGTTAACTCTGTTATCGTTGTTCGTCCTTGGTATCGCTAACAGCCGATCGGCTACGCCTGGTCTCCTCTATCCGGCGCGCTGCAAAACGGAAGAACAAATTGATCATGTGAGTCAACACCAGTCGAATCTCGGGCTCGATGGATTCACCGATGCCGATCGTTAACCCGGTTCCCTTGAATAAACGTGATGTAATTTACATTACCCTAGATCAGTGGTTCCCAACCTTCTCACTGTCTATGTGCCATGATGCTCACCTTGATCAAAGATCTTAATCTGTGTGGAACGTTAATCGTTTTGTTTATATGATTGGATTCTCTGTTTTGTGATAAAGATGCGCGCCCCGACCCATTGATAAGCACTTGAGCAGCAGGAGATGTGGCACTTTCTAACCAAACCTATCCACTCCTGCGGCACTAGTACTTATGAACGGGTTAGGATTTATAGATTATTAATAGAATATTGTCAAATTAGGACCTTGAAATTTAATTCTATTACCCTAGCGGAACAGGAAAATAAAATAGGATGCAGTGGAATGTGACTTAGCTCGTTCTTTCTTGCTATCAGTTGAACCCTTTAGCCTGAGGAATAAACAATTATTTTAATGGAGATTAAGAACGACTTCTATCTCTGTTATCTACCGGCACTTAGCTGAGGATTTACATTAGTAGATTTTTTAGTAACAAATTTCAATCGTGAATCAATGCCTACCAATGATGGTATTTGTACAATATTGAAACTGATGCTATCGTGTGCTCCAATTAATAGCGAGGGGTTAATACTCGATTCATCGAACGAAACACAGCAGAACGGAGGATGAATCGTGCGATGAGGAGTATCGCTCGCAGAAATGCAAGTGCCGGAGATAGGGAGGAGCCGAGGCCACAATCGAATCTTTGATTTCTCTGACCCGAGTCCCTCGTTTATGTTTCTCGGTTGGTGAGGCGCCCGTATTCATCGTTCCGCGAGGCAACAGCTTTTTAAGATAGAGCTCTTCTGAAATCAAAAGAAAAGCTAGATAGGCTCCAGAGAAATTTTCAAAGAGGATAAAAATATGCTGGTCAGTGGCAAACAAAGAGGTCGGACGCTGCGTTAAAATGCAAAGCCGCATTAAGTCGAAGCGGATTAGCGGACATGCTGCGAGCATGAAGAGGCGCGTGGCTGTCTTCTGGCGGAAGACTTCTGCCGCACAGCTTGCACGCATTGCAAGCCGTACATTTTCGGCGACGGATTTTTTCGCCGAACCGAGGAAAAAGTTGACGATGAGCACCGAAATCCGTATCCCCTTATTCTACAGTTATGATGCATATTGATCCTCATAAGACTTTCATTCCATTTCAGTACCTCGTTAATGGGAAAGCAGAAATATGTAGAAACGTGCGTCAAGGGAATTCTGTTAATAGAAAAATTGAGCTTGGAATTAATATAACAAGCACTATAGATAATGTGAGTAAAATATTTTTTCATGAACAAGGTATTAATTACCAAGTGGCAATTAAGTTCCTCCAACTCTGATCAATTGGCCGCTACTGCAATTTTGTGACTCCAGCATCGGAGCTGAAAAGATTTGAGTTGTTAGTGAAAGAAAATAAAGGGTTTTGGATTAGATCTACTATTACGATTACCCACAGTTTTCTACAAAGTATAATAAAAATTGGCGCGTAACGCATCGTGCGCTCCCCTTTGTCAGTAGACATAGGGGAGAGGTGGTGAGACGAGAAACGTAGGGTGGGGGTAGGCCAAAGCGGAAAAAGATCGGGGGAGAGACGAAGGGAATTGCAGAAAAGGGGAAGACGCAAGAGATCGGCTCGGGGGAGGGAGGACGGAAGAGGGGGAGCAGACCAATTAACGCTAATTTCTGTTAATGTCGGCTCCCTCTGGACGTTCGCGAAATAGCTCGTCAACTTATTAGGCAACGATGCACAAATTGTGGGTGGATGACGGGATTCCTGGAAACGGCGAGGGATAGTCGTCCCCCCGGGCCAACAAAAACCGATTTGGTCCTTGATACACGATGGCACCGAAAATTTTCGGGTTCCACAGAATCTTAATTTATATTTTAAAGGTCCAATGTTACCATACCAATTAATTATAAAGCACATGTCGATTTTAATTAAGCATTCAAAATAGTCGGATATCGTTCAAATAAAAATGATGGCTTTGAAACACGGAGAGTAGACAACAGACAATTTCTAATCAAGGTTTTTAATACCTCGACGGTTCGTCTGACCACAATTTGATGTGCAAACATTGTGTCGCAAAATTTAAACTACAGTAAATTTTTTGATTGTCAAAAACTATAAAAACGACCCGCAAGGCTCAAATAACCGTATCTCCTTCCCAAATTGTCCATTTTTGTTTATAAGCTGAGGGGCGATTTCAGAGAATTTACTGTAATAAAAAAAAACGCGTACGAAAATTGTCTCACTTCACTAGTTTTTCGAAATCGATGAGTCGCCTCGATATGAAAGGCCCAGAGGACCGTTAGTATGAATGTACTTCGTACCAGACAAGCTTCCCTCGGCAATTACTCGTGGTCTCTGCACGCTATCGTCTGCGAAGGGTCAAGAAGTCGTGAAGATAAAGTCGAACCATATTAGTATGTGCCCGCTACATTTTCCAGCGAACAGCGAAATGTCCGTTTTCGATTGTAGCGTTTGTTCCTGCTCTCACAAGATTGAACAAGCAAGGATCATCATAACGAGGTAACAACGATTCGATTGTTTTCAATGATCGTTACTCGAGGTTTCAATACGGAGAGTGTCCGGTTCGAGAGATACTCGCGGATCTATTACATATAGGGTGTCCTAATATTTATGGTGCAGTTTCCCGCGAAAAAATAAAATAGATATCGAGATCCCTGTATGGAATGTAACTTTCAACGTAAATTAATTGTAGATAATTTATGTTAATTTATAATGCAATAGAAATTTATGAGAAGATGATGACTTTGCTAATGCAACAGTTTTCAACCTAACCTTAACACATCGAACTTATATGTATAATTATAATGAGACAATTGGGATAGTTGGAGAATTAATTTGTTTGCTTTGTTGAGAAAACACATTCGCAATGATTCTGTCGTGTGTTTTCTGTTTATCGACGGAGACACTGGTTAGGAATTAATCTTGTTTGTGAACATGGTTCTTAGAGAAATGGGGAGACTGTTATAAACAAGCCGATCTATAGACAGACATTAAATATGCACCGTTTGTTCAGGAACTTATCTGTCCTGAATGATAACGGCGATAGTGGTCTCTAGACCCGAAAAATAGCGATATTTATCGACCGAGCAGTGCATGTGCCGGGCCTCTACGAACAATCAGAGGAAATCTCATGACCTTTAGCTTTTATTCGACACTAGTGGACATTGACGCGCTCTTCCGCACTTATTAAAGTAATAACACGGTACGTTTCTTGGAATCACTGTTTTCTATCGGTCTTCGAATGATGGAGTAATGTTGTTTCGAATTGATCGTTAACACTACACTATTCTCTCCCCGAACGACAACGCGGGGACCAGCGAAACGGATGTTGGCCTGTTAACCAAATAAGACGAGTTAATTCGTAAAACTTCACATTTAAATAACTCCTGCTTCCTATGTAATTCAACTAATTATTCTTGTGTTCAACAGATAAACTAATTGTTCTTGTATTCGTGTCCATCGTGACATAATCTTACAAATACTGTAACGGAAGATTCAATAGAATTAATTCGTGTGAATTGACGTCACAAAAGATGTAATTTCACTGTTCCTCAACGAACTATAATTCGTTAAGTGTTCACAATCAGAAAATCACCTGGTTAACAGGTTAATGGTACAGTCCGATGAATGAAAAGATTCAACGACGAGGGGACGGGAGGGACACTTAATCCCTCAGGATTGAAGTACGAAACACCATAGTCGAGACAGTGAATGAACATTACCGTGATACGTACGGAACTGTGAATCGCATCGGCGAGTGCGCGTTCCCGGATAAATTCACGTGTTTTCCCTCCCGCCTGTGCACAGTCCTTTGTTCCACGTGGTGCGTGACAAAATACTGTTCGATTTTTGATGATCGACCGAATTCGATCCACTCGGGAAATTAGACAGTTACCGTGAATCTTACGATTAGAGCAGAAGACCGCGGGGGTCTAATCACTGAACGAGATCGCAGCGACTTGTTGCGTATCGTGATCGACGATCGACTCGCGATGACAGAGGAAAATGATCGGTGTATCGCGGTTCTTTTCACGCAATTCGCTTGTCCCACGAGATATTAGCATGTTTCAATTGTTTTGTTCGCAGGAGAGGAGGCGGGCACGCACGCACGCACGCGCACGACACTCGCGTCACGACGGCAGACCGACGACTGAACGATAAACTGTTCTTGATTGGCTTAATATACTCGGACGAGGACTGTAATTGGCCGCTCCTTGCCGCGGCGGGAAATGATTGGTCAATTTAATCCTAGAAGCTCGGTGCATTAAGCATTCAAGCAGCGTTCAGTACCTATTAACGGTTCGCAAGAGAGGCACTGTCACTGGCCACCACCGCCATCGTTTCTCTGTGTGACTCCTTCTTTGTCGTCATCGGTGCACATCATACTCTCCGTGCCTCTTTCTCTCACTCTTTCGCTCCCTCCCCCCCGATCTCTTGTCACGTAGAAAACTGTCCTCTGTCTCTCTCTTCTCTTATTTTTTCAGCTCTCTCTCTCTTCCTCGCGCGCGCGACGTCGTTCCAAATCAATTTACCAATTGAAATCAGTGCCGGACAGTGAAGAATCGCGTCACTGAATGGGTCCGGCAACCGACGGGGAATATGCGTCTCCCATGTGCATGCCTTCCACCGCTTGTTATCAAACCGTTCACCGGCAGGCCCCGAGTCTTTATTGCCTCGCCTTCGTGCACGAATCGAAACGCGCGGCTAACGACACGATCGTCCGTTAGATTCCCTCTATGACAGTGCTTTTCAACCTTCCCCCCCAGAGCCGGCCGAATTCGAAAGGCCCGCGCGAACCGACGCTCGGTTCAAATTCCATGCGCGAGAACCAAAGCTTCGATCGTTCGACAACTTCCGGTTCTAAAGAACGCCCGCCACACTGCCCACTCGTTCATTCATCTTCATCGTAAACGAAATTATAGATGACAAAGGGACGGATAAGAAGTATTCTTTTTTAGGTCAGTTGCCCCTATGATTCAGTTTTCATTATTCTACAGATTCTGTGCGCAATGGTACGCTACATTGCTTGAAGAAACGTTGGTTATATATATTCGGTCATAGAGGTTCAATCTTTATATTTCCTTGCAAATTGTTGTCTGATTACCAGAATTTGCTTAATTTTGTATAACAAGTGGATTAATGATAATGAAAAATGTACAATTTTGATTCTTTATTCAATTATTCGACGCTTGACAGGTACGAAGATTTTTGTGACCGAGTGTACGTTTGAGAGTAGTACAACCGAATTAATATTATTATTATTATATTAACATTTAAACAAACATAAAATATAAGAATAAAATGAGGTATTTTGAGGAAATTATTTGAAATGCTCCTTTTCAAATCCTGATTTGACACCTGTGGTACATAGTTGAGAATCGCGAACTTGTCCGATGGTGCTGATTGGTTGAGAAGTTCTCCTTCCGGTCTAACTGTTGCAGTTTCGAAGGTGAGATTTTCCGCACCAGTATCAATAATTTGTCAGTTAAAATTTGTTTGACGCGGGCAATAATTTGAATTATATTTCAGTGACGCGATTAAAGTGACAATAACAAGTAGCGGGATCGAATTTGTTGGTTAAGAAAATGTCCAGTTGATTACGAGTTACAGACGAGCCTGCTTTTAAAGTAGACGCCTAGCGAAACCACCATCTTTGAACAATAATTCGACAATCGGTGAGTAACAAATGCTTAATGAACAACAACTACATAATCTACTCGAAATATCGAATAAATGCGAAATTATTAATATAATATGCGCGGACAGAGCTTGCCCCTGATATCCACCGTAGTCTTTGCGTCTCTGCATGAAAAGTAATCGCACCGTGGTGAATTTTGAACTCATCACCTACGGCACTACTACTTAGCAAACAGATTAGCAATAATTGAGAGTGTCGGACAGTTTCACTAACGACAAGAGCTCTTCCGTCTTCGACAATTGACGGTCGACTGCGTTTCTCCAAATTCGAACCGAGATATATACGCCTCGTGGGGGCCAAAGTCTAAATTTTCGGATAACATTGTTCTCTTGTTTTGCTTTCTCTTATTTCGTCTATTTGTTTCTAGCTTCGTTCTTCTGCGATCTCCTACTTTATTTCTATTAATTAGCCTTGCGTTTATAGATTAATCGTTCGATCTATGTCTCGAGGTCCGAGGCACCTGTGGGGAAGATAGTCTAATTCGCGATCATAACAACAGGCGTTTAAATTTGCCGCCTATTGTTATGGTCACAAATTCAAATACCTTCAAAAATTTGAAATCTGGATTCGATTCGATCTGCAAAAGAAATAACGTCAATTTTATTCATCGGTTGTGCAGATTATTTTTAAACGTTTAACATGATTTTGGCGGTATACAGTGTGTTTCAGAACTACCCATTCAAGGACAAACTTTATAAAAATGCTCACCAAACACAGACTTTATAAAAGTACTCAATGCATAGGAAATAACGCGTTAATCAATGGCATAGATCATTTTCAAACGTTTTATACGAATTTGGGACTATACAGGATGTTACAAAAGTACTTATTCAAGGACAAAGTTTATAAAAGTACTCATCCATTTTTAATTGACCAAAGTACTTAGTCCGGAAGAGACAGTGTGTAATAATATTATAAAAATGTGAACGTTTGCATTCGGGAAAGGCCATAGGATCATTCTAAGCAATAAAATTGAAATTAAAATCTTCTTTAAATTAAAATCTCTTCTCAATCGAATCAAGAACATGGAATCTGAATTAAATCAAGCTTCTGAACACCCGAGGGTGATGCAAAAACAATTAGTTGGACCTTGTTATCAGCGAAACCGTATCTCGGCCCGGTTTTTCCTGATTCAATCAGCGAAACCATAAATTTGTCCCGCGCAGTCTAGATTCTAGATACTTACACAAGCGAACGGGATCGACTTGTGCAAACCTAGCGGGCAAGGAGCCGGCAGGGCAGAGAGTTCCTCAAACAGATTTATCAGACTAAACAATGCGCTCATCACCGGGTGAATCATCGGCTTCCGTGCGAGTTTTTCGATCGGTTCGACACGATTATGGTACACGGGGGCGAGCATAGTCGAGTGGAAACAATGTCGCCGGACGAATAATTGGTCGAAGGACCCGTGAATAGGTCCGTCGTGCAAATTGACGAGGAGAAACGAGGAGGACAGAGGAGAGAGGACAGAAGAGCAGGCTGATTAACGCGTGCACGCGGTGCGCGCCCGTATCCCGCCGAATGTGCTCTGCTCAAACGGCTCGCACTTTCGAATAACATGGTTATTTCGTGACGATGATTATCCAGCATGGATCCCTCGCCGGATTTTCTCATGCGGGCCCATTTTGTCCATTTTTTCCGAACGCAACTCGAGGCAATGGGCGCTCACCCACCTTTTATTAGGACACAATCCCTGTTGCCGTCCGCGGCATCCCGTCGCTGACTATCCATTGTGCATCGATTAGGATCCCCATACTCCTCCGAGGCTCAACCTGTTAACCGTAGAAGACGCAACCACTCGTCATTCCTATTCAACCGTGTGTTCCTCGATCTACAACGTTCCCCGGTTTAATTCCTTCTTTCATTACGCCGTTATGAAAGATTACGCTGTTCCGCAACAATGGCGGCTGTTTACGTAAATAACTAACAAAGTCGAACACTTTATTGCAAATTATTTGGAAAGGACATTTTCAATGTTCATTAAAATGTTCACCGGGTGTTCCACGAACTAGAAACGAATTTCCACGTTGTAAAACACTTTATGATGCGAGATTGCAGTCGAGGTTGTAAACTCACGTTGTTTGAGACCATATGTTCCACAGAGTTTGCCAACGATCTTCGTCCGATAGTCCGAATTAGCAGCTGTATAGTCTCTCTGATATCGAAACGTTTCAAAAGAACGTCTCCAGACACAGTAACAACACGGTTCCTTGCATGGCTAACGTCTGTACGGCAGTTTTAAGCTGGAATGGACACTGGTGTGTCGAGAATGCAGCCTCTCGTACGGAAGTCGCACGTGCACAGGTGTTTTCCGTGATCATGTGTGCCACATATGTCGCATCGGCAATGATATCGATCCCCGGTCGATCGAGGGATCTACGTTTGTCTAGTTGTTCCACATGCATGGTCGCAGAAGGTTTCGCATTGTGTTTTTCGGTTTCCTGCGAGACCGAGACACGATCGAAGGAAAAATTGTCTGTCGCGGCTGGCGAGCTGTGAATGTAAACGTAAATATAAATGTAAACTGTTCCTCGAGGCTCGCCGACGATGGCCTCGGGGACGCCGACGGGATTTAATCCGGCCGAGGGAAAATTCAGCGGATTTTCCATGGATTTCCAGAGAAAATTCATGATTGAACGAGGGAACGGCCGCGGCCCCGGCCCGAGTAATTTAGAAGAGTTTATTAAATTGGGTAGAATGCTGTGCGTAGGCCCACGCCGGATACTCGGAGAATGAATCTCATCCAACGAGAGGAAGTTCGAATTAACTCGAGCCACTGCCAAGGGGGTACGGCAGAACCCCATATACGTTATAAGCTCTTGTCCCATTTATTCTTTGCACATTTGTGCGTCGCGTACGCGACCGGTGAACCATCGACCATTCAATCAGTTCTATTTATTTGTATTTTCCTCTTAAGCAACAGTCTTGAAAACTACGATAATATTTTTGGAGACGTTCCCGCTTGCTATATTATGCGAAAGCATGTTATGGAGAAATTAATGATGAGTCGCGATGGCAGAGGCTTCGAGCTTTAAAATGAGTTCAGGTTTATCGTTTTCACGACGCGTTTGCACGAAATTCTAACAGTTTATGTTGCTTTACGAGTGAAGCTCGTCTAGAACGATTCATTAAGAAATGCTTCTTAAAAAGACTCCATGATTTTGATTTCACTTAGAAGCTGCTTAACGTGACTCACGGATTAGCCACGTAATTATTTGCCCAGATTTAAAAGAGTCAGAATTTGATATTTCTACGGCTGGTTAAAATTGAGGAAAAGTGATTGAATTAGAAAACGAGAGGTGTGCGGGAATAAGGAAAGAAAAGTGATCGATGAGATTTACGCTATAATAAGGTTCAAAAGCGCAGAATGTAGCAGAGAATTAAGACTTATTAGAATCATTTGACCCTGGGCTTCTTATAGCGTACTAAAGACTTTGATGAGTTTATTTTATCCGGGATGAGGGTGGGGAGACCGAAGAAAAGGAGACGAATCAATGAGGAAGGGAAGAGAGGACAGAAAACAACATGTCGTGCTATTCGCGTGTTAGCGGCTTCGACGTGTTCAGGCGTGGGCGATCGCTCACGAAACAAATAAAAGGATAGAGAAATTAATTAGGTCTGAGGACAGAGAAAAAGACCTGGCCACAGTTCATGGTTCGCCATTAGATTTATTCGTGGAATGTACAGCGTTCCCCGTGAAATTTCCACGTACGAAATATGTACAAGAATAATGTATATGGTTGATAATCGTGTGATAGTATTCGCTTATTTCTATAAATAACAAAGAACAATACGATACTAGAAAAGAATGTACAGTGGAGCGACAATTGAGCTCTCGACGCTTATAGTACTGTCCTCTTGGCTATTCATCCTCTTTCGCAAATAACTTCGACGACATTAGGATCCATTAATACAGGATCCAAACATCTGTGCATTGCACTTCCCAGTATCTCGCCCAGCAACCGGTGCATCACGCTTCAAACAAAAATTGTATTTATCACTATCATTCCTCTAAACTGATCCTGCTATCAGGACCATTTAAAAAATTTATTAGTCTTGGAAAAATGATTGTTTGGCTTTATATTAACTGAAACTTGATTCATATATGAATCAAATTATGTTTACTGGAATTAAGAGCGACTTAATTAGAAAGAAACTCACTCCTCGTCGAAGACAAATCTCCACAAGTACTGTTGTAGGTAATGGGTATCGACCTGGATCTGTTGCAGCCCGTACTTGCTGAACGTCCGTAATCTGACGCATTCTAGGAATGTCTATAAATACAAAGGGTCTATCTTTTTATTGGGCCCGGCGATCAGTTCTCGGTAGCGTGGCCTCATGTTGCGCAGTATGCAACGATACGCAACGCGAGAGAACAAGGTATCCTCGCGTCGTGCAAAGTGGATAATGGCCGTGCTATTTTATCATTGTGGCCGGCCGACAGCACCTGTCTCTATTACCCGGTACTGTGTCTGCTAAAAGTATTTCACCTTTAAACTGATCTTGATGATCCCGGTGAGAATGGAGGTCTTGTTGAACTGGACCGACGAGAAGATCTCGATCCGTTCGGAGAACAATTTATGAATATTGCTGGCCAACGAAGAGTCTATGTGGCTGGGCGTGTAGGATGATAAACTGGTCCTATAATGACGTCTCGACACGCTCACGCTGGAAATTCAGTCCCACGGTTAGCAGAGAGATGACACGGTTTCCATGACCCCCTTAACGTCGCGTGTCTGTCCCCACTAATTTCATGAAGCAGCCAATCGCTAAACGGTAACGAGGAAAGCCAATGAGATAGGAGACAAACTAGCTCCCATTACTCTCTAAAGTCCCTGTATTTTTATAATCACGCGACGTTACAGGAGAGATCTTGATTTACCTATAATACCTATGTGCTTTTCTGCTGCTGTCGCTGCTCCTGTCGACTTGACCATCCTGGTCGTCGTACAAAACGGCAACCTGAGAGTCGATTACCGTCACATCCTCCACTATCCTCTTCATCACGGGTCTTACAGTTCTTGGCTCGATAGTGTGCAACCAATCTCTGGTTTCCACCGACTTCCTTATCAGTCGCGACACCGCCAATCCTTGAATGCGAACGTAATGGTTCAATAAGTTTTGTGCAGCTTCCTGGAACTTCTCGCATAATTCTGAGTCTGTTGTAATTATGTTTCCAGAACAAGTGTATTGGTCAATGTTGAACAGATCATCGGTTGTAGAGAGCTGAAAGTAGAGTATTAGTATAGTTTCATAGGTTTGCGGTCGTTGGTTCAAACCTGTTGCTCCTTACCAAGTATTTCACGTTATTTTCTTTGTATTCGACACACATTTTACTCAATAGAAGTAGAAGGGTGGGTGGACATTTGGGAACGTCGGAACCAGCACAGAATCCACTTGCTGTCGCCATTAAATGGTGTAGAAATCCTACTATTAAGCTTTCCCTGACCTCGTCCACGCAGAAGTTGTGGAGGAACTGCGTTTTGGAGCTGAAGGACAAGTCTGGTTGCAGAAACACCTGAAATTCAATTTTATTTTAATATGTTGGACAATTGTGTTGTTGTTGAGTGTGGCTAGAAAACGTACCAATAAGTCTTGTAAAACTCCTTTGACTTTTTCTATGGTGGGCATAACAAGCAAGGCCTGTAGCTCAGCCAGATTACCATCTTCGTCCTGGGAGACTTTAGTTGCTACTGTTTGCCTTACTTTACCAAGTCCCTCGCACAAATGTTGCTTCAAATTGTCTAGATGATTGCGACATTGTCTTCTACCTGCACTAACCACGATATCTGTTCCTATCCTGATAACAAAGAAAATATGTTCCATGATTTTCTAGATCTTTATTTGGCTTTATTCAGCTTCTGGCTGTTACCTTGCAAAATCTGTTTCTTTGCACAGCATATTCACAGCTTGCAGTCTTCTGTGAAATTTATCCAAGGCTTTAACTAGAACTGCTGTGTCAGACACGTGTTCTACTCTTTTACCGATTAGATCAAAATACTTCATCATGTTTTTCATAATGAAATTATTCAGATGCGCGATAGCTTTTATTTCAAAGTCGTCTGAAAGCTCATTGTCCTCGGACGGTAGTCTGTACACGAAGAGATCATTGTAGGATCCAACAACAAGGCACAGATCACTGAGGAATCCAGAACTAGCCATGTCTACAAACTCTGTAATATCATTCTCGTACATATCTTTTAGATTGTCTAATTGCTGTGTCAATCTTTCATCTGCATGCATTAAAAATTCAGTGCATAGGGAATCAGCTGGTTCCTTTAATTGCAACAGAAGATTTACGTTCTCCGCTAAAGCCTTCGTCGACGCATTTCTCTTGTAAAATTGATTTCTCAATCTTGACTTGAGCTCTTCTAAAATATCTTCACAATCTTTTTGTATTCCTTGAAAAGAAGGTAAGTTACCATACTGATTTAATACGCGCTGTGCATGGATGTAATCCTGTACCGCCTGAAAGAATAGAAAAGACAAAGTTCAACCAAAAAGCCACATGATTGATCTTACAGTATAGGAAAAAATATAAACCTGATCGTAATTTTCTTCATTCATGTCATCTTTCAAATTGCCAGGCAAATTAAAGAGGAATTGTAACTTTTTTAAGAGGGCATGAACGGAAGATAATTTGGCAATTTGCTGTCTAGTGCCTTGAAGAGTTGATGAAATTTGTTCCGAAAAAGATGTGATACTGTCCATATTTTTTGCTAGCATATCCATGCTCTCTTCCATTTCTTTGAAATCAGTCTTCATCTACATTAAAAAAGAACATTCTGTAAATTAAGTAACCAATGCTGTATACATTATCTGAGTTGTTTACCTTTCTAATAGTGTCTGTGGCAGATATAAATTTATTATAATTCTCATATACGAGTGTCTGCATATCCGAGTGCAATGTTTGTGTGTTTCTTATGATTTCCGACTCATGATCCATAATTTGTTTCAATGTACATTCCTGTTGGAGCAAAAATATAGTAACAATGTATTGCTATAATTATAAGAGAGTCTTCAGCTTACTTTCAACATTTTTTGGAAGTACATATCGGGATTAAAGTGCTGTCCATTAATGTCATACGGATTGCTAGAATTTTCTGCCATCTTGAGTATTTTTCTTGTCACAGCTGGGCTTCTTTGACTGACTTTAACCAACTTTGACAGTCAGTGAGTCAGTCAGTCAGTTTACCCTTCATGTAACGTTAGGTTAGTCAGTGGACTGCCAACTTGAGGGTGCGTTTCACGAAAGGTTAGGTGAGAAGACGCTGTGACGAGTAACATAACCTCTTCGTAATCACGAAGAAAGCGCAACAAGTGCAATAAAGCGTGAAGAAAGTGACCTTACAGCGTTTCCTTTCAGATTAAAAGTGTCTCAACCGAATCTTGATCTCTCGCCCTTGTTCAGAAACGTTACGTTTCATGAAAACATTGGAATTTCGTCGCATGCAAAGGATCAAAAAGAATGAAGGGGTCGTTGTGTTTTATCATTGAATTTTATTGCACGAGTACCCTGAAATCCTATCGCCTGCAGAAAGATTATGAAAAGATCATCTAAGGATCGTTTGGCATGAGAACTTTCCTAGTGACAAACGTCAGAAAAATTCTTTGACTCGGAAATAACCTCCATCGTTGCGTGTGTATGTCAGGATGATATTTTTCATTTGACGAAAACACGACAATAAAAAAGCGATAAAAAAAAATGCCACACCCATGTGTTGTGTGCGGCCGTTCACGCATGAATCCCAATAATAGGGAAGAGGATTACATGTTTTTCGGGTTTCCCGTGAATGATGAAGCTAGGTGCAGAAAGTGGCTGGAGTTTTGCTGCCGCGAGGATCTATACAAATTTACCAAAAAGCAGTTGCTCCAACGAATGGTCTGCTCCAAGCACTTCCAAAAAAAGGATTTCCTAAACGAGTTCTTTGACAGACTAAATAGTAATGCTATACCTTCTATCTATGATCCTAAACAAAGCTTGTATAACATAACATGTGTACTCTGTGGTCGTTCCCGTCTTGATCCACCAAGTGTGGATTATGATGGTGCAACCTTCCATCATTTTCCTGGAGAGGAGTTTCGTTGTTTGAAATGGCTTGATTTTGTTGGAGTTGATTCATATTATAGATTGACCAGGAAGGAGATTTTGTACTGTTATATTTGTTCAAAACACTTTGATGATTCTCAATTCATGTCTGGTTACAAAAACAGGTTGATAGACAATGCTGTTCCTAATATCCGTAATACCGATCAGTTGGATGGATCTGAACAATATATTATGGAGTTTGTATCTGAATCAAAGAATTATGAGAAACCAAAAAAATTAGATCCCCTGCCACCAGTTGTTTTAGAGAGCCAAGCATGTGCTGCATGTGGTAGAATGAGGTCTGATCCTAGAAACAAACTGGAGAGGTATAAGTTTCATCCTTTTCCTGCATATGAGATTGGCAGATGTTTGAGGTGGTGCCAGTTTCTGGGTAGAGAGGATCTCTTGAAAATGTCTCCTAATCAGATAAGGAAACTAGTACTTTGTTCTAAACATTTCCAAACAGGGCAAAGCTTCCACAAAGTAGGACCATGTGATGCAGTTCCTACTATAAAAGATATATCAGAAGTAAATTCTGTCAATTCTACTGAAAAAATTATAGAGAAACAGGAGACTGTAGATAACTCTAATAGTACCAATAATGCTAAGGGAATTAAAAGACAAGGGTTCACAAGACCATTAGTATCTAGTAAGAAACCAAAGGTAGATAATAAGCCTACTCCTCTCGCCAAGAAACGTGGTAAATCTAAAAGGCCGACGCTTATCAACATTCCAATACCAGATCCTAATAATATTGAGAATCGTGTGATAAGGAAGTTGCCACTTCCACCAAATTCTAATTGGAAGATTCAATTTACGGATCAAATTCAACCGATTACGATAGCCAACAATGTAGCATCAAATATTACAAACAATATACAGGGAAATATAAAGAAAGTAATCTTGCCATTTACTGGGGACATATCAAACTTAGGTGCTCCTATCCCAGTGCACAGTTTATCCAGCATTCCTCCAGGCTTGTTATTTAAAATTAATCTTCCTGAGCAAGAGCAACCGAAACCAGTTAAATTGATCAAGAAACAATCCAAAACGAAGAACACTTATATTCCTGCTACCTCCAATGAAATTAATACAAGGCATCAGGTGTGGATAAATAATGGAGGAACGTCAGTTGTGTTACCTACAATGAAACAGGAAGCAGAAAAGAATTTAGTTGAATTTCTATCAATCTCACCTGAGGAAACAGAAGATAAAATAAGTGCAGAAGAGTTGGAAGTGCACGAAGAAGTCATTTTACCACATTCATTGGAAGTATTGGATGAAGAAGCAGACAATGTAAAAGAAGATCACATTTACCAAGACTTTGAGGAAGTGGAATGTTTGACCCCAAAAGAAGAGAAACCAGTACCATGCAAAAAGGAGTCAGGGACATTGCGTAGAACAATAATTCCTATTAGGAGTGAAGTCAAATATTTTTTGCGCAAACTTGCACCGTACACACACAGACTACCCAGAAAAGCTAGAGCACAGATAAAACTCTCGATCGTTAATATGGTCATCGATCAATTGTAAATTTCTTTAGGTATAAACAAATGATAGTATTTTGAAGGAATTATACTTGAAAGCAAAACATTTTACATATATGCACATATACAGATTTCTTGTACATTTAAAAATAATTGAATACATAGTCTTTAAATACTAATAGTTAAGATATATTATTTTTATTATATATTTATAACAGGATGGTGATAGGTATGATAATAATGCTAGATTAAAGAGAAGGTTTTGTAGAGTACAAATGATGTTTGTACATAAGTTCTTCAACCATTTTTATGTCATTTGTTTTATCTAACTGTTGAGATGTACATTTTGAGAACTTAAGATATATTGCACTGTTGCAAAAATTGAGAGAACCAAAGAAACCCTTCCAGTTGCTCTCCACGTGTGTATTTAAAACATGTTGTTCATCTCGTTAATCCTCTGAAGTTAATACTTGAAGTTTTTATTGGGAAGATATCATTTTACTATGTATATTTTTAAGCGACTATTTGTATGTATATATATAAACTAACGCAAACAATGGGACTATAAAGATTATGTTGCAGGGAAAGCATGTAAAAAAAGTTTATTGTATGATAAAGCTTTATGGAAGCTTGAAGTGCAAGATAACAATAATTTGTTTAAACATAAATTCCTCGTCAATTCAAATGCTTTTTTTAAATGTACAATATTCAGTATTTAATATATTTCAAATTTTTAAAACAGGTATCTGAATTATTTCCATAATTTCCAAGATATCTTTATAGATTTTAAAGAAATTGCATCTTGTGATATGGGTAACCATACTTTGGCTACATTGCTCGCAGTAATATTTAATTTCTCTCGAGTATACTTAATTATAGGCTTCGTTACATCTTTGTCCACTTTCATATGATTGTTTATCCATGAAACTTCTGCTGAAGCAATTGGTTCTATAATAAATCGATCGCGTTAAAATATTTTTATTTATTGCAAACATGATATACATATGTTTCAGTTTTTTTACCGATGTTTATCTTCGGTAATAATGGATTCCATGTACCAATGTTACAAGATCTAAATTTTTTAATCACGCTTTGGTACTCTGCACATTTGCACAATATGCCAAGCGGATGCTCTATACAATTTTCAGATTTAGAGTGCATGATTCTTCACGCATATTATAAATCTCGCTTTTTTGACATAGACCAATAAAAAATTATTGATGGAAGAAAACATCTGAATCGAGCAAAATACGCATACAATAATTTATAACTCTAAGCGATAAGTAGAAGGTGTAAATAGACGCGACGCTAATAACAATCGAACTCATAGTTTATGTATAATACATAGTAATACAAGAACTTGCAATTATCATTAAATTAAGCTGTGTGTGTGTGTGTGTGTGTGGATGTGTTCAAATATAATACAACTAAGAAGCCAGCTTCTCTTAATCTGTGTTAAGATGCAGCAGTATTTTTAAAGAGTTCATAATAGATTACAAAAGCCTGATAAAAAACTGTACAGAAAAATGAAAATATTTAATTTATTTTTATAATACTTAAACGTTTCTCAGAAATATGAAAATATGAGGCATTTATTTACTGAATTTGCATGTTGCGTACGCATATTCTCGGTAAGTGCGAGCTGACTTAACACGGAAAGTCAATGTGGATTAAATATTTACAATATTACAGCTAACTACGTAAACTCTGTAGTCTCATTTTCATTTCTTCAAGCTCATCGTCTGCAACTTCTCCTTCTTCTTCCGTGGATGTGGACGCTACTACAGATCCTGGATTTTCTGTGACTACAGCAGGTGCTGTGCCTAGTTGGCCTGCTGTTACTTCCCATAGAATCTGAAACAATTTATTAATGTTGCTCCATTATCAAATTCTAATCAAAACAGCTGCAATATATTTAGATACACATAAATAGATATTACTTTGTCTACTTCCTCATCCGCTTCATCTTCTACATCGTCAGCATCTTCAATAGAGTCCATAGTCTCATCTAACATTTCTTCAATGATACCAGCTTTCATCATTTCTTTAGATAATTCTCTCATTGTGGCTGCCACTTCTGGCACTCTGACTAGTGACTGCATCGCTTGCATCACCTCCGTGGACTTTGAAACAGAGCCTGCAACTCTGATCGTTGCTAATTGATTTTTCATTTGCAGGGACACAGAGTTCAGGTGTGCTTTCGAGGTATAAATCTTATTGCAAGCTTTACGTGCTCGTATGATCTCTTTAGCAAGGATCTTGCACACATCTTTGTCTCCCTTTTTTGCTGCATCTTTCAGAGAACGTTTCACTTTCTCTTCTTCACGTTGAATTGCTATGTGCAAACACAGTTATTTACAATCAGTGCTATAGAAACTTTTCTGTGAAACTTTAAATATAGTTATCAATGCCATGCTATAGTTTATTATGATTTTGGAGCACCTCACCTCTAACCTGTCTGTCTAACTGATAACCCTCCTTTCTCAATTTGTGAGTCCATTCTTGAACCTAAAATAACAATTCGTATAATAAACATCAAGAATTTATCGCAAATCATATCTAACCATTTCCTTCGGATTTTTTTCTTGAGATTTTCCGAACAAGCCCATTTCCTCGCTATCTTGACAGAAATGTCAGATTACGTGCATTCGAGCCTCCTACCTGGCGAACATAACCAAACACTTTTGTCCATGAATTCGAATAGCAATCCTTCGGAGGTAAGTACAGGGATTACGTCATTGCTGAATGATTCATTGCTGTTCTTGAACGATCAAAAGATAATGGTACATATAATAGTACAAGGTTATTAATGGTATATAATGCTATATTAATCCGCGCAATAAACTGCCGACATTTTACTTCTTTAAGTTTCATTAACTAAATAAAGAGTGCGTTGAGTTCCATTTTTTAATTCATTTTACTTTTCAAAAACATTTACAAAATATATATCTGTGAACATTTTCGAACATTCGAGCGTTTAACATTAATTTTATTAAGGAGATCAAAAGATACATCTTAAAATTTTAATTTAAAATTATTTTCCAAATTTAATTAATTTAATAAACTATAATGATTATTAAATTAATTTTGATAAAAATAGGTGTATACAAAAGATCGATAAAAACAATATTAAATTCGAAGCATTGTCAAAAAGTTGAACAATCTCGTCGGAGAAAAATGACTCGATTTCAGAGTGAAAGTTCACATCGATTTTAAGTTCTATTTCCTTGGGTTTTAAAGTGCAAATTAGTTCAAATTAAAGCTGGAAATGTCCGTTTTAAGATAGGGTAGATTAGATTAAAAAATAATCACGAGATCATTTCGAAAAATCCCGACCGCTGATTCGGAGGAAAATGACTATTTCAAACAGCTATTTGAACAAGTTTTAACGATAAATATATTACGTATAGCTGTGTAATGTTTATAATATTTAAGACGTTTATAATATAATAAAAGACATTGAATACTATATTTATTCCTTTATTCAAACTCGATGTTACACACAACAATTGTTTCCTCAAACGTCTCACAGTACAAAAACTATTAAAATACAAAATACATTAACTTACAGTTCATCAAAAAAACTATAAAAAAAGCATATAGGAGATCTAGGCCCAAGGATTATTGGCCAAGATCATATCCCTCAGCCAGTTCAATACATCCGTGACAATCGCCACACGTTCGTTCACCTTTTCGTCAATGTTCCTCTCGTACCTGTATTTATCAAACTTCCTGTACCTCTGTCGTCGGTATTTATTATTAATCTCGTCGCTGTTGTCATAAGAATCATATTCCGTTGCATCCTGGTCTCCATGGACAGCCAGCAAGCTTCTTAGATTCCCCTCGACGAATTCTTTCTTACTAAAATAGCTGGCTCGATTTTTCGCCGGCTCGTCGATCTTCCCACCGAAATTCCACGGAGCTTGCACTTTTTCCAAGTTCAGCGACAGATTGTATCTCTTCGCGAAAGTTTCCACGGGCATTGAGATCTGCAAGCTGTCGTCAGCCGAACCGTGCTCTGTTTCTCCCACTGAAATCGATTCGCGTTTCTTGATTTTCTTCTTTCCCTCCTCATCCTTCATTTCCGGTTGTTTCCTCGGGGTGCGAACGACGTTGCCGTTCGTGGGCACGCAGCAAGGACATTCTTTATTCAGCAGGTGTTCACAGACCTTCCTGGAGATAGACAACGCGTAGGATCCGTCGCTCTGCTTCCTGATCTCCAACGGCAGCTTGACACCATCCCCGACATAAAACAACTCAGAATTCCGAAGACTCTCCACGTCGTCATTGTTCTTCTTCACGGTTATCTTGCCAAAGTACGTGTAATCAGGGGAATCTACCTCGCTTCTTGGCCCACCCACTACCTCCTCCGTACTCTCAGCATCATCTAGCACGAAGGGCGTCGTCGAGAAGACGACATCATCCTCTTCTGGAACTAAAGACTCATCCGTGATTCTTTTCCTCGAAGCAACAACTCCACAGGGGTTTTCCGTGACTGATTCTTCTCTCCTTTCTTCTCCAACTTCTGGGTTTAATGTCTCCATACCTTCTTCAACCAGTGGTAAGTCTGTCATGGGTGAAGGTAGCTCGGTATCTGAAGAAGTAGACGGCTCTTCGAGGTTTTCTGCGATCCTGGGATCATCCGTTGCTCCAACGAGGTCGGCAAGAGACTCTGTGATGGATTCTTTTGCATCTGAATATGGACCCAGTGACTCTGTTGACTTTTCTACCAAGCTTTCTTCTTCTTTATTCTCTGGCAGTTCCAAGGAGCCCTCCTCTTCATTAGAAATATCGTCCGGCAGTTCTGTTTGAGCATCCTTTTGGGCACTCGAGACATATCCAACTGCTGTGTCCTTGTAGTTTACTGTAGAGCTCCCTAGGGGTCCGTTCTGGGTCGTCGTTGACCCAGATTCGGCGATGCCTGCTTCTCCTTCTGCGATCTTTAACAATTCATTCATGTCGACGTTTTGAAGATCGCCTGCCTGCGTTTGTTCTACGGCGCTGTCAGTTGTGGCCGTTTCTGTGGTCTCCATCTCCATCAGACTCACCTCGTTGCCGAGGATAGCCTGGATCAAGTCGCTGCTTGAGTTCTGGAAGCTGTTCCGCATGCTCTGGACGATCATGTTCTGCACAGCAGGGTGTTTCGCAGCCTGCAAATTAGAGTAGATTCGAGTTATAAGAATCTTACAGCCCAGAGAACTGATTTTGTCACTGTAACTCGATGTTAATTATTACTATTGCTTAGGAAAAATTGTGTGTATACTTCGAATGTTCGTTAACAAATCTACAAAATTTATAACCAAATACTTTCGCTTAAAAAGATTCCGAAACATCGCCTTTTAATCAGAACTATTTCCTGATTTTTATTTCTCCATTTAGGTTACTCCAATCCCAACAGCAGAGAATGAAGACAAAATTTCGAATAAACTGGGATTAAATGATCGTAAGTGTGTGTTCCTTTTTACAGAGTACACGTGTCCCTACCTCCATGCTGACTGCAGGATCCCTGAGGAGGTCCTTGATGGAGGCTCGCAGTTTCTCAGCATCATCAAGATCCCCTTCTCCATCGACCGACGTCGGCGCCAATGTAACGATGCTGGTAATCCACTTTCCATTCTTGAATTGTCTTTCTTTAACGGTATTCGCTGGAAGCTGCGTGTTCGTGGCAGGTGCAACATCCAGCGATTGGTGCAAATTATCCCTGATCACGCTGGTAGGCCATTCTTCGTCGAATTTGCTCCTTGGCACGCCGGTCACCCCAGCCAGTAGATTCTTCACGTTGTCCAGGACCGTACGCTCCAGCGGTGGCAAGGACAAAATACCTTTCAGGTTCGGAACGTCCAGGATTTCCTTCATTAAATCATCCTTCGCAGAGCCAAGCAACTCGCTGCTTCCGACGGTTTCAGCCGAGTTCCCGGTTGCGAAGTTATTAATTACCGCCTTAATCGACTTCTGCAGCAGCGAATTGTCGCAGAACGGCAACCCTCGCTCCGTCGTTGCTCCAGGATCCGCCGCGCCGACCTGCTCCTCGTTCCCATTTACCAAATCCTCGTTATTCCTCTGGGTAACATCGTCCGGGGACTGCTTGTCCATCGAAGAATCGTTACCTTCTTCCCGATCCTTCGAGCCGGGCTCCTCCGAATTCAAATTGTCCCGCTCGTGATCGTCCTTTAATGGGCTGCCGTTATCCGCCGAGTAATCTTCTGTGAAAAATCCTCCGGGAGTGACGTACTGATTGATATTCCCCGCTGCGACGTTCTCGTCCGTTAAACCCTCCGAGATTAACGCCGTTGTCTGTTCGAAGCCTGGACCACGCTCGAAGTCATCAAGATTGGAATCCTCGCCGTTCTTCGACGCTGGATCCTTGCTTGGGTCATCGATCGAGGACTGTCCCAAAGGATCTGAAACATCTTCCTTGTTAGCTAGCCCCGTATCATCTTGTAGAGGATCTTCCGTGGAACTCTCCAAGGTACTCTCCAAGGTACTCTTCAAGTTCATCTTTGAATCAGGCACGCAGTATTTCCAAGAAGGATTGCTCTTGCCTACCACAACATCCTCGGTGTTAGCTACTCCTGAATCATCCTTCAGAGGATTTTCCACAGGATCTATCAAGGTATCCTCCACGGTCGTCGTTAAATCAGGAATAGACGTATCGGTTGTACCCAAATCAGGTTCGTTGTCGTGTAAATCATCGTCGTAAACCTCCGACGTGAACTGTATGCTGGTCACTTCCTCGATACCAGAGTAATCAGTCGTCTCACTTCCTGTTTCAGATTTGTCCTCGGGCTCAGCAGCTCCCACAAGAGCATTACCGTTGGATGCTGGTACCGTTTTGCTTGGTGTGTGCTTGGGAGATTGTTTCACAGATTGCAAATCGTAATTGAAGTTTCCGGGCGTTTTCCTCGGACCAGTTTGTGCCCCGTCGACAGTCTTGGTCGTTTTCGATGACGCTGTGGAATTTCTTTGCCGAGTGGGCGAATGCTTGGGAGGACTGGGTCGTTGCACAAGAGTTTGTTGATTCCGAGAGGAGTCGGGTGTACGTTGCCCAACCACAGAGTCGTGTTTGCCGGCGAATGGCCTGAACGGCACGCTGATCCTCGTTGGGCTGTGGCCTTGATTCGCGATTGGCAGCGTCGAGGGATTGATGTGATAGATATAGGGCAGGTACGATAGTTGGCCATGATTCCCTGCATGTGGAATCGGATTCATTTTTCCGGGCAGCAGGTTGGGCAAATATTGATGAAAGCCTTCGTACGGATACGGCTGATGCTGGTAGAGCGGTCTTTGCTGCAGCCTGCTCTCGCCGGGCAGCATCTTTTTGATATCGTTCCTCCTCTCAGATTTAGTCTTCTCTGTCAGCGGCTGTCGAGACAGTCCGTCTTTCCGCGAAAGTGGATTACTCTTCTCCCGACAGTAACAAACGTAGTCGTCGTTGTCAATTACCTTGGTTCTCGATGGAAAACGATCGGGAGCTGCTCCCACGATGTAGTCTCTAGTCTTCAGCTTGTCCCGCAGGCTTCTGGCCATTGCCAATAGACGATCCTGCACTGTGTCCTGTTTTAAAGCTGCATTTGGAGATTTTTGAGAGACTAGTTGGCTCTGCGGATCTCCAAGTAACAGAGATTTACAGCGTTTGGTTTTTTGAAGCTTCTGGGACGAGCAGTCTATTCCCCCGCTTCTGCGCATCCTTTTGTCATTGTCTGATGACAAATTTTCTTCCGAGGACGATTCGGGGATCGTTGGGGGACCATTTGGAATTGTTGCGGTGCTGCAAAGGAGAATAGTTGGTTTGCTCAGATTTTATTAGATTTTCTAGTTTGTTTTTGTTTTTTTTTTGGATATGTTTTCAATTATTTTTATGAATATTTCTTAATGTTCAATCGTGTGAAATGTAAAAAATTTGGTTACGGATTGATCACAGTGGCAAGCAGAGAATGTAATGTAACAAAGTGAAGATTGCACGAGAAGTAGGCCAGTGGCGGAAAAGAAGACGATCAAGGGATCCGTGGGAGCAAGTAATCTCGGTCTTACCAGGAAGAAGAGAAAATAATTAAGTTTCATTCTCAATCGAGCTGTGCCGAGGCTCCGCAAATGGGATCCGTTGCGCACGCGAAATTCCGTCGCTCATGAATGCGAAATGTTTTCTTCCCCGGCGGCGATCGCGTCCCTCAGCATGTAATTGAAGCTGACGCCAACAGTTGCGCCAGGGCCAAAGGCAGTCGGCGGTTCGTACCACGGACGACTAACATACTTTCCTTGTCATACTTTCCTCCTCGCAATCCAACGTACTGACCCCGTAATCCGAAAATCGTCCTACCGGGAAGTTCGTTTGAAAAATTGAAAGAATGTTCCGATGTACTCGACGGGAAGCCAGATAAATGGCACGGGATAAGGAGAATTTATGGGGTAGTGCCGGATCGCGCAACCCACACCTTCTTCAGATATATATTCTCGAGGAAATTTGTTGAATTGCTCGTTGTAAATATGACGGTCGCGTCCGAGAATCGGACAGCGTGCGGAGAGCCATTGCTCGGTATTTTAGGGAAACTAATCTCGCATCTTTATGGTTCGATTTAACCTTCGGTGGACTCTTCATTTTATACTCAACTAGTTTATTTAACAATAAGTGATGTCTCAGTGTCTCCTTTATCAATCTCGCTGTTACGATTTTGTCTAGTTCGCGTGTCTCCTCAGTCGACGAATACGAATTTATTTAATATCAATCTTTATTGTATTGGTAAATGCAAATCGATTTTCCTTTGGACTATTTGGAGCTTAATACAGTTCAATATAAATTGAGATATTCCCGATATTAATAATTTTAATTAATCGACTCTGCAAGAAAGCAACTACCTAATGTTAAATTTTCAGTTAAATGCACAAATATCTGCATCCTAATTAGATCTCTTAAAAAGGCAGTCTCTTTGCTCGACATTCAATTAGATTAACTCCGCTCCGAAATAAAAATTCGAACGACTCTGATCTGCATAATTATGTCGTCGAATATTAATTGCAAAAATTACCTTGCGTCGGTTGTATCTTCTTTGCTGCTTCCAAGGCTCTTGCAGCTTATGGTCGCGGCCAGGGCGAGAAATATCGCGTAAACGATCACCGATCGATCCATGATGGTCACGAATATCACTCGCGTAGTCGCAGCGCGGTTTAGTTTCCCTCGTTTATCATCAAACGATCCAAATTTCCTCTTCGAAGCGAACGCTATCGAGATCGCTCGACGACTGTGCGATCCGAGGTTCGACGCATATATTCGACAAAGTTGCATGCATGTTTTGATGTTCCTCCGATTACGAAATCCTCGTTGTCAGGCGTCGATCGTGTCGCCATAAAAATTATCTTGTAATAATGCACGTGCATTATCTTGTAATATACACTCCGATATCTAGGACGCTGGGAATCGAATCGAAACATCGACGCGCGCGTAACTCTTAATCTCTGTCTAATTAAGCTGCGCTCTGCGAATTTGAATACTGTATGCTGCCACGGTGTTCGTTCTGGTATATTTGTATTTAGGTGTGGCTCTCATCGAATCGAAACACATTTTTCAAATGCAATGTTCATTTTATTTCACGTCACAAAAGTACACACAAATTGGGAAACGTTCGCATTACAAAAGTACACAAAAATTAGAAAATATCCACGTTGCAGAAGCACTATTTATATTATATAATAGCATTATTTTTTATAATATGCATAAATAGTAATATATTAATATTATATTATTATATTATTATATTAATAAGATGTGTATAAGAGACAGCCATAACCCCGGACTGATTGGACTGCAAGAGATGTGTATAAGAGACAGCCATAACCCCGGACTGATTGGACTGCAAGAGATGTGTATAAGAGACAGCCATAACCCCGGACTGATTGGACTGCAAGAGATGTGTATAAGAGACAGCCATAACCCCGGACTGATTGGACTGCAAGAGATGTGTATAAGAGACAGCCATAACCCCGGACTGATTGGACTGCAAGAGATGTGTATAAGAGACAGCCATAACCCCGGACTGATTGGACTGCAAGAGATGTGTATAAGAGACAGCCATAACCCCGGACTGATTGGACTGCAAGAGATGTGTATAAGAGACAGCCATAACCCCGGACTGATTGGACTGCAAGAGATGTGTATAAGAGACAGCCATAACCCCGGACTGATTGGACTGCAAGAGATGTGTATAAGAGACAGCCATAACCCCGGACTGATTGGACTGCAAGAGATGTGTATAAGAGACAGCCATAACCCCGGACTGATTGGACTGCAAGAGATGTGTATAAGAGACAGCCATAACCCCGGACTGATTGGACTGCAAGAGATGTGTATAAGAGACAGCCATAACCCCGGACTGATTGGACTGCAAGAGATGTGTATAAGAGACAGCCATAACCCCGGACTGATTGGACTGCAAGAGATGTGTATAAGAGACAGCCATAACCCCGGACTGATTGGACTGCAAGAGATGTGTATAAGAGACAGCCATAACCCCGGACTGATTGGACTGCAAGAGATGTGTATAAGAGACAGCCATAACCCCGGACTGATTGGACTGCAAGAGATGTGTATAAGAGACAGCCATAACCCCGGACTGATTGGACTGCAAGAGATGTGTATAAGAGACAGCCATAACCCCGGACTGATTGGACTGCAAGAGATGTGTATAAGAGACAGCCATAACCCCGGACTGATTGGACTGCAAGAGATGTGTATAAGAGACAGCCATAACCCCGGACTGATTGGACTGCAAGAGATGTGTATAAGAGACAGCCATAACCCCGGACTGATTGGACTGCAAGAGATGTGTATAAGAGACAGCCATAACCCCGGACTGATTGGACTGCAAGAGATGTGTATAAGAGACAGCCATAACCCCGGACTGATTGGACTGCAAGAGATGTGTATAAGAGACAGCCATAACCCCGGACTGATTGGACTGCAAGAGATGTGTATAAGAGACAGCCATAACCCCGGACTGATTGGACTGCAAGAGATGTGTATAAGAGACAGCCATAACCCCGGACTGATTGGACTGCAAGAGATGTGTATAAGAGACAGCCATAACCCCGGACTGATTGGACTGCAAGAGATGTGTATAAGAGACAGCCATAACCCCGGACTGATTGGACTGCAAGAGATGTGTATAAGAGACAGCCATAACCCCGGACTGATTGGACTGCAAGAGATGTGTATAAGAGACAGCCATAACCCCGGACTGATTGGACTGCAAGAGATGTGTATAAGAGACAGCCATAACCCCGGACTGATTGGACTGCAAGAGATGTGTATAAGAGACAGCCATAACCCCGGACTGATTGGACTGCAAGAGATGTGTATAAGAGACAGCCATAACCCCGGACTGATTGGACTGCAAGAGATGTGTATAAGAGACAGCCATAACCCCGGACTGATTGGACTGCAAGAGATGTGTATAAGAGACAGCCATAACCCCGGACTGATTGGACTGCAAGAGATGTGTATAAGAGACAGCATAAATAGTAATATATTAATATTATATTATTATATTATTATATTAATATTATATATATCTTATAATGACGTCTCAAACTCGCCTAACAATTTAACATCGATCTTGAAGCAACATCAATTGTTTCGTACATATAAAGTATCGAACGAAATTAAATTACAAGGGAAGGGATTAACAGTAATATAGATCGCAAGTAATTAATAAATTATCCTCGTAAAGCGTGCGCGATACCGGCGAGGACCATGAAGAACTTCTTGACGTTCGTGATTGCGGATTGGAAAGCGGGCCGAGTCATGCCAGTCGATTGGTCATCGATCATTTCTCCGGAGCTCGTGGTGCTCTCGAATCTTTTCTCTAGATCGTCGATCAATTGTTCGACGGAGCCTGTTACGTTCTGAGCTTTCTGCAAACTGTCGACCACGACCATCCCCACTTTCGGTATGCTGGCCTCGATGAACGATGGCAGATCCTCTTTGCCACCTTTCCGTAGATTCTTCTTCCCTGTCAGATAATTGAATAGACTCCCCGCTACGGAATACTTCTTCGGCGGCTTCTTCTTGGGCATCGCGGCCTCGACCTCGCCTGATTCGCTGCTGCTTGGAATCTCTGTCGTTGTGGCTTCCGTGTGCTGTACCTGAAGAAGCAAAATTTGATCAACCAGTTCGTTAAATCACCAAGAAGAACGGACATTTCGGCATCGGTATTGATTACAATTGGACTTCCTCACCTGTACTTGCTCTGCCTCCTGATCTACGGCTTCTCTTTTCGGTCTAACCAAACTCCTGGTCCAAGGCATCACCATAAACCCGGACTGATTGGACTGCAAGTCCAAATTGTCTTTCGCTCCCTCAATTGGATCTTTAGCTAGCTCTTCAGTATTTGTCGCACCAATCGTATCATCATGTTCTTCCGAAATCTCGGCCAGTTTCGACGGACTTGGAAACTTGACGCCTTTCGAGGAAATTCTTCTCCTAGAACTTGGTTCTTTGACAGAAACTGCCTTGTCGTATTCGTTCTTGAAGATCCTCGCAGAATTGTCGTCAGGACTCTCTAGCGAAGACTTCTCGAGGCGCGCGTTGTTGTGCTTGTTAGTTTTCTTGATCTCCCGAGGCTGTTTTCGCGTTAAACGCGACTGGTCGTATATGTCCCTGCGATTTCTAATATTCACCAGCTCCGAGCTTCCAGAGAAATCTTCCTGTTCGCCTTGTCGACTTTCCTCGGAGACTTGTTCTTCGGATACCTCACCCTTCTCCGTATCCTCCGCGCTCTCTAAACTTTCCTCGATCTCGCCCGCTGGTGTTGTTTCTTCCTTGATCGACCGCACATTCTGTTTTCCTTTGTTAATATCGTTCTTATTGAACAAAATACTAAAGAGCTTGGCAGCAGATAGCGAATTGAGAGATTCGATCAATGCGTCCAATTCTGCGTCCTCCTCCTCGTCCCGGATCTCCGAGGACTCTGGGTCCGCAATTTTAGCTTTGCGTTTGCTGTACGCGTTCTGACGAGCTCGTTGAATATTATATAAATTAATAATTCTCGATTTTCCAGGGTTCCTGAGTCCCGATGGCTGTCTGTACAACTGCAAAGCGGGTTCTCCTCCTCTGTACGTCGAGGGATCGATCACGTATACTTCTCCGCTGCTTGCCAGTCCCTTTTCTCCCGAATCCTCGTACTTCTCGCTAGAACCAAGAATCTCTAGTCCGTCTGGCTGTAGTCTGTATCTTGGAAGATCGTAGGTCTCTTCGCTGCTGTCCGAGTTTGGATAAGTTATCATCTGGAAAAAGGTGGTATTTGAAGGTTTAAAATCACGTTTATGGTGTAAACTATTTTTCGAAAGTTGATTGTAACATTGGAGATCACTTTAAACTTGCTAATGATATAGATAACTTCTGATTTATTTAATGAATTGGGTTGTAGACTATTTGTCATTGAATTAGTCTTGCAAACTGTTAGTTCATTAGTGAGTTAAGTCTGTAGACTATCAATTTGCAATGAATTAGATCTGTTCAGCAATGAGCTAGACTTAGAAACTATCTCTTTATAATTGGATTAGATGAACAAGCTATTTAGTAATGAATAAAGAGCTAGATTAAATTGAATCCTGACTTTCATAAGAGACTGTATTAGTCCTGAACTGATCTGAGATCACAACTTTACAAATTAATCTAGATCAGATCAAAGATCAGTTACCTGCTCGTTATTATCTTCTTCCTCTTGCAGTCCAGCTGGATAATGGAAAAATCGTGGATCCTCCACGCTCTCGACGAGGGCGTAATAAGACTGACCATCCCTCCTGTCGTCACTAACGCGTCCCCTGACAGCCTTCTCCAGCACATCCTTCAACCTAATAACTCCCTCCTGCATTTCTCGAGGATTAGAATGCTCCATGATCTCGGAGTCTCGAATGATTCGACGTTCCCTCGGCAGGAAGGAGAACCTCTCGCGGATGTTGCGAGGCTTCCCGACCTCCATCGCAGATAAATCTTCATCATCGTCCACTGTTTCACTGGCTCTCTCCTTCCTCCTCGGCTCGTGCATCATCATCATCGCGTCTCTTAGATCCTCGTCATCCTTGATCGTCTGCCAGGCTTCTCTCCTGCCGAGCCTCTTGCCATGTTCGCCATGCTCTTCAAGTTTCTTCCTGCGGAACAGCCTCAGCCACCTGTGATGATTCTCTCTCAGCCTTTTCCTGATCCTTTCAATCTGAGATTCGAGAAGCCTTGCCGGGGCGTCTCCTGTGACAGCCGATTCCTCGAGTTTCCTCTTTTTTCTCTCGTCCGCGACCTTCTTCAGAGCCAGCATGGCTCTAGCTCGATCCAACACGCGCTTCTCCCACGGCAGAATCTTCGATATCTTTCCCCTCGCGCTGATTGGAATTCTTAATCGCTTTTTAATCGGTCTTAGAGCTTTCGGCGACCCAACTTTGACGTTCTCGGGTACTTCTCCAGCGTTCGCAAGTACCACGGACTGAGCGTCGTCGTCAGCTTGTCTCTTCGAGCTTCCTTTGGCAACTTTGACGTCCTCATCATCGTCCTCAGTTCTCTGCGTAACGTTCTCTTCGTGTAAGGCAACTGGGTCCAATGTCGCGCTAAGAATTTTCGTTCCCGAGGCTTCTTCGTCGTTATTAATCGTCTCGGTCGGAGAAGTCTCTCCATGGCTTGCAGCACTCTTCTCAACAGCCTCGTGATTATCAATCTCTTTCTTCTCCTCTGTCTTCTCATCTTCGCCGAGAAAAAGTCCTTTTCTGTCACGTTTGACTGCTCTCGACGACTTTAAATCGTCCTCTTCGTGGTTCAACAGCGACGCAGAGTCTGCTGTCGCTTCATCATCGACCTCGAGGGGTTCTAACCCTTCTTGAGACTCAGCGTGTTCACTAATTCGCGTCGAAACAACTTCTGGCTCGCTCAAAGATTCCTCCACTTGGAATGCCTCTGGCACTGTTTCTCTTTCGATCTTCAACTTCGAGGACTGCGCCCGCAGCACCGCCATAGGCTCACCCTCTAATTCAGAAAATACCTCCACCTCCTCAGGGACGATCCCATCATTGTCCGTGGTCTCATCTTGCTCCGACACGATCTCCAAGCTACTTCCAGTATCGGCGACGTTTCGCTTCCGTCTGTGGACACACGGATCAGTGTCTCTGATGACCCTGCAGTTGCAGTCCTTCGAATTTGCATCGTCCTCCTCGATCATCTCTTGATCTAGAATAGCTCCCAAGTCCGATCCTTTCCTCTTCATCCTTCTCACACCTCGAACTTCTGGGTCTTTGAACTGCATCAAAAATTCTGGATCTTTGAGCTCCAAGGTCCTCCGTTGTCTGTTACCAAAGTTCCTTCGTTGCCTGGCCTCATAGTAACCGGTGAGTCTACTCAGGCTGCCTCTATCACCTTGTCTTTTCGAATCTTCGTTCTTCAGACGACCATAATCTGCTCCCTCGTCCTCCCAGAGCTCGCCAGGCTCTACTCCGCCACTTCTTCCACCGGCAAAGTATTCTCTTGGCTGGTAGAAATCATAGTCGCCTTCGTCGTCCATCCAAGGCTCCACGATGTCGTCAGGATCCCCATAATCCTGCGCAGGATCTCCCTCTCGATGGATCCCGCTGCCTCCACCGAAGTTTCGTTTATAGTTTTCAGTCTCAAAGAAGACGTCTCCCGTAGGGAACCCTTCGACAGGATCGGTCTCGAAGAACCCGTAGAAGCTGTCGTCCTCGCTGTCGCCTCCTCGATCGAAGATTCTCGGCCGAACCGCGTCTACGAAATCTCTTTTGATCTTCTGACTACTTCGACGCTCTTTGATGTCGCTCTGTCTGAACCCTTTCCCCAGGGGATTCTCCGTCTCTAACGAGGACTCATCGAACAGCTCCCTCTTCGCCCTCTTCGTCCTTTGAAAACCGGCGACGTTCATCTCGAACAGGGGCACGCGAGTTAGCAGAAGTCCCAGAGTATTCAGCGCCTCCTTCGCCGCGCGGCTAGAAGTCGCGCGTTCCACCTCGTGTATCAAGTTCTTTGATTTCCTCAGGATCTCGTTGATCGCAAATCTCACCGCAGTTCTGGTCTTGCCCGAACCGGCTATGCGTTCGAGGACGGCGATGTCGTTCTTGTACTTCTGCAGCAAACTCTGCGTGTCGTCGTCGAAATTCAGAGGAGGTCTCTGGGTGCTGGGCTTTCGTTTTCCGAATAATCTACGACCTCGTTTGTCCCTGGACCTCCTTCTGTCCCTTTGCGAGGTTTCCTTGTCCACGGATCTTGTCACGTGGGATTTCATTTGCTGGTCTTGAATGGTACCCGCGTCTTCCATGGGGTTCGGATCTTGCGACAGTTCAGGTTCCATGCACGATTTTACCTTGAAAGATGACGGTTCTTTGAGTCCAAGAAGAGGCGGATTGATGAGAATTTGAAGTCTCGCGTGGGAGTGTTGTTAAGAAGAAATTTGTTGGAGAATAATTAAACTGAGAATTTTATGTATTTACAGGGAAGGAAAATATCGATGCATCATTTTCAACTAATTGGCGATAAATTTGTATCTTGTTGTAGATTTAGAAAAATGGAAGGAAACCCTTTGCACCGAGTCGGGGTTGTTTCTGCCAGCGAAAAGTTCATGATTGATTCTCAGGAGATTGTTAAGCAACTGACGGTAAATGAAACGTTATTAAGATCGAAGGGTTCCACGTACCTTGAAGTCGGGAAGGACCCAGAAGCCGACGCCAGCCGAGGGCAAGCTGATTCCCAGTCCCTCCGGATTGCTCGAGATGATTGGTTTCATCTCGGGAACGTCGTCGTTTAATAGGGCCAGCGTTTCATTGTTCAGTAGAACGCTCCTGCAGGATCGATCCCGGCGGGATTCAACAGAGAACGTGGCGGACAATCGAACGTACGAAAATAAAATATCAAACTGTAAGGTGTTCCGCGGGAAACTCACCTGGAGAACATCCGATTCGTCGCGTCGAAGCCAGGCGAGAGTAGATACTCGTGAAGCGTGGTGACTGGAGCACCTTTCAGACGAATCTCGACGTCTTCGGGGTTGAAGTTCACCCCGAAAATCGTGATGGATCCCGGCTTGTATCTGCTCGATGATTTCGTGCATTGATAGTAGAGGTACACGTGATTGTTCTCGTCGGTTTCGACATGCCCGTCGAATACCTGACGGCCGACGAGGGTTTTGTGGAGCAAGGACACCCAGTAATCCTAAGACAAAGCGATCGTCATCGATTCTGCGATTTCGTGGTGGTTGTAGGTTACTCACTGGACTCGGCTGAGTCAGGTCTTCAGGTTGCCTCATGATTACGTCCACATTTGATCTCGCTGCATTGCCTAATCGCCTAGCCAGCAACAGGGCACCGAGATACAGGCTCTTGTACTCTTCTGGCTTCGATTCGGCTTTGAAAAGAATAACATCCCGGTTCGAAATATCCAAATATCTATTACAATGGTAAATTTCTGCTTCTATTTCTATTAACAATCTATTGAAATGTAAACTTCTATACAGATCTGTTACAATTTAAATTTATAATACAAATTCGTTCGAATTAAATTTTATACAAACTGTGTCTTCACAGTTTTGTTTTGAACCTAATGATTTTCATCGGAAGTGCCCATAATCCGCAGTCTAGTCATTGTCTTACCAATCCACAGCGGTCGATTCTTCATAAACCGACCGATAACCTTGTAAAGATCCTTCTTCTCTTTCTCCAAATCGCCCGGTTGTATCAGAACCCCTTCGCTGTCCGAATTGATAGAGTCGAATTTCCTGAAGCAATCAGAATCGCGTGGTGAATCGCGATGACTACTTTAACGCAACCGACGATAAAATAATGAATTTACGGGTGCCAAGTGATAGCTGAGAGTGCATTGCCAGCGCCATTGAAGTAATCCTGAAGGTACTGTCTTTCCTTCCTGGTTTCATAGGCCACGATATCTGGCCCGACGATCATACTGTTCGCGTATCTGGGAAACGCGTTCAGAGTTTCTCTCAGAACCACCAACCGTTTCGCTAGATCCGCAGCCGATGCGTTGCATCTGTTCTGGCATTCTGCAATATTTTATTCGCGATAATTTACTCGAATCAAAATCGTATTTATGTTCAGCAATTTTCATTCGTCGAGATTATAAAATTATTAATTTTAATTCGTTATACAATGATTTCAGAATGTTCGTATCGGTTACCGTATCCCAGCTGCCAGCTCGCATTGAAACCCATCTGATCGCTGAAGGAAACAATTTCCTCGGCATCCAGAGAGCTCCCTTGTCTCTCATCGTTCTCAGCCGAAATGCAAGCAATCACGTCGAGCCCCGATTTTTCCGCCCACTGGTACACCAACGCCCAATCGGATTCTGCGATCAGGAATTAGGTATCGTCTCGATGAGGTTACACTATTCCCGTGGGAATCGGAGACAAGACAGGAAATCCCCAGATTCAACGTTTGATTTTTAAAATGTGCTGCGGTTCGCGTAGGTAGAAGTGATTTTTGAAATTGGGATCGTTGAACGAAGTTAATTTTGAATCTGTTTGCATTGGGAATCGTCGAATCTCGATAGGTTTCTCAGATCAGGAATTAGTTATCGTCTCGATGAAATTATGAATTCAGCATCACCTTGAAATTAGGTTTAGTAATTAGGATTAGTTTAGAATATCTCAGCCGCGAACAAATAATTGATAAAAGCCGTCTCTGCCTCGGGTAACAGGAGCAACCCTTTTCCGAGAGATTTTCCAGGCATTTGCAGTTTGATGTCGCGGTAACGATGTTGCTGACGGGTACAATGGGACGAGACATTTGTAATAGGGATTAAAGGGTTTAAACAGCGGACGAACAAGAGCAAAGCGCGCGCGCGCGGGCGTACAATACGATACAATCGAAAGAAAAAGTCTGATGAAAAATATAAATTAATTAGTACGCGGACGAGGTAACGTTGAATGCCGAAGACAATGCCGCTCGCAAGAACGACTCGCCGAGAAATAAGTGACGTTATTAGGACTGACCCAGATAGGGTTTAACGTGAATGAAACAGAAAAAGTGCGTAACGGTGAATATACATTGAAAAAAGAATTGAATGATACTTTCGAGTGTCTTTTGGAAAAATTGTCGACGCATTTTCGAAAAAAATTTCGCGAAGCAGCGAAATATAAAAAATAGTATTCTTCAATGTACATGCAACAAAATCGTTGAGCAAATTTTTCAATTCACTCATCCATTTTCTTAAAAAATTATTCCGAAGGCAACTATTAGGTCGAAGCTCCCAAGGAATTAGACTGTTTCATAGGGGTGTGGTTACACGGTTGTAATTCCGTCATTTTGCGAATCAGAAGAGTACGAAAATTCTCTAGAACTATTCAAGGTTTATGTAACAAAATCCCGTAGAGAATTTGTTAATCCACCCAGCCGTTTATTCAGAAGAAATTCCGAAGTGCAGCATGTAGTTGATGCTATTGTGGAAGCTTAACTGTTTGAAAGAAACCTCTGTTCAGGAGACTGTGAATCCGCTATTTTATTAACTAAATGGGTGCAAAAATTCTTTCATATTCTTCAAAGTCAAAGTGACAAAATCCCGTAAAGAATTTGTCAATCCGCCCAGCCGTTTACTCAGAAAAAATTCCGAAAAGCAGCCATTGGTCTCGAATAGTCAGGTCGGGCGTTTTAAGTATGGAAACCGCGACGAGCGATGGCGTTGGCGAACAATTTCCGCGGCGCTTTCCGAACTGGAGAATCAGCGGACCATTATGTCGGTTAATTAAAGCGACGATGTAACGGGCCAGTCGCGGACAGAGGAGTCGGCACGCGTCTGCTCTCGCGGCGAAGTCGCATTAAAGCGGAAACGGGCCGGCTCCTCGACCAATTTCGCGGCCGATGCAGCATCCATGGTTCGCCGCTGCGAGAACCGTGAGAATTATCCAGCGCACAATGGTTCACGGCGTGAACTTCACGCGCGAATGCTCGGCAGCTGTCGGGGAAATGCGAGCCGCTAACGAGAGAGAAACGTCGAGGATTCAGCCCGTAGCTGAGCTCGTCGTCAACCATCTGTCTCGGCGGAATATGGCTTGACTCGCGCTAATTACCTCAGAAAGCGACACGTAGGTCCCGTGACCCGTTAATTCGCGATATCGAAGCTAGGTTGGACTTCGTCTTCGGGATTTTCCATTAGACATTCAAGGGAAAACGAGAAACAGCGTCTCTTATTGTCTCTCCACGCATTGGACATTGTAATTAGCAACCCCTTTCACGACATCTTTGTTTCGGAGGGTTAAGAGATCTCATCTTGTATACAGGCTGGGTTAAAGGATCAGAGTTTATGGGGATTCGTTAGTCTTTGTTAAATGATTCAGCGTTTATTTGATGAATATTTGGCGGAGATGCTTTGTAACTCCTGTTCAGTCAGCTTACCGGAGATCAAGTGGCCACGATTGATCTCGTTGTCCGGGGGATCCTCTTTGCCGAATCGGTAGAGGGTACCGCGAGGTCCTCCAAGGCGAACGTAGGCCGGTCTCAGAGCGTGTGCTAGACGCGTGCTCCTTTCGAAGTCGCTGCTGTAATCGTAGAAACGAAAATTCGAGAAACGAAAACGAAAAGGGTTCGGCGAGAAGCGACGTCCGTTTAGACCTTAACCGTTTTATATTACTTATTCTTCCTCCTTTCACGAATTTTCTAACGTATCAGCTTCTACAACATCTTCGTAACTCCTTTCCGAAACTTTACTCGAAGTACATCAAACAGGTTTAATATATTTCGCCGAAGGTACACACGACTCTTTCGGCCGGCGCTGAGAGGGTTGGCTAGCGGGATTTAATAAAATAAACATCTCCCCCGGAGTCTCTAAGCTGTTCCAAGTTTCTCAGAAATTGCTAAACAAACAGCCGCGTTGCTGAAACCATTGTTCCATCCCGCGTCAACTTTCGCCATTGAATAACCAAAGTAACGCTTAATAATTGATCCGCCGCCAACGTGACGCTCAACAATTAATTCGCTATTGAATAACCGAAGTAACGGGGCGACGACGATTGCTTCGATTTTCACGTACCTGAGAGCTGCGCCACGCACCAAAGTCGCAGGATCGATCGTCAGGCTGAGGAACTTCTCGTCGGCGATCGCGACCGGTTTCTCGAGATCTATATCGATCGTCAACTCTTTAGCGAGGATAGATCGAATCGCGAGAACGCGCAGGAAAAACCAGAGCAAAGCACCGTGCCTGTTACGCTTCATTGTTATTATCTAGATTTTTTTCCCGTTCGCTGTTTATCCAGTTATAATAGCAATCTCTCTTCGGTTTAAGACAATGCTCATCTCACACGGTCGAGGGGACGCTCGAAGCTCTGGATCTCGGATCCTGGATCGTATCGCGATGAACGTTTTCCTTGGACTGAGGGACGCGATTATTCGGGAAAAGTCAAATGGACGACACCTGACCCGATGACGAATGCTCGCGGCCATTTCGACAGTCGTTTCGAAACCGCTAAATCGGTCGTTGCGTAAAGAATGGATCGCGATTTGCACGCACAGCGAAACGATCTTCGGCTCGTTGGCCTCGTGCCTTACAAAATCGAATTACCGAAGGCATGTCGAATGTCGTTCGGAATTCTTCGGGTTCCCATTTCGTCGTCGGCCGAACTTGTGTTGCAATTGTTGTACATGTTAATCGCCGTTTTCACGGATCTTCGTGCGTTTATCGATATTGTTATCTTATCGGCGAGACATCCGATAGCGAGGATTTGCATAAAGATTCGCGTAACGATTACAGAAGTCCGAGGATGCTCGTTTCTGTGAATACAAACATCGGGAATTATTGTTCAGAGGAGGCGGGGGGGGGGGGGGGGAAAAAAAA